GAGGTTGAGGCTTGGGGGGTTTGTGTTTGGGTTTGCGGTTGCGGTTGCGGTTGGGATTCATGGACGCGCCCAGGCGGTTGGGAGGGGGGGTTGGGAGAGGTGTCAACTGTGAGTGCTCCTGGCATGGCGTTGTAGAGGTTGTGGTTGTGTATGAGGAGGCTGGATTATGATGTCTTATCGATGGAAGGCGGCGGGTTGATCAGATGGAAATATTCCGGCGGCCGCTTCGGTCCGATGATAATCCGAGCTATTTCAACTTTAAAACTTCCTTCGATTTTGACAACATCACAGCCACTGAAATAAAATTGAGTTAATTCATTTTCTTCTACGGCTTTTAAATGCCATAGTTGGCTTCTACAAAGTCTTTGCGTATTATCACTTGTAGGTTTTGTTTTTATTCTCTATTATTTTGTATTGTGTACAGGCTAAAACCAGCCCCTTTCCTGACACAAAGGGGCTTGCTCTGCGATATTGCATGTTGAACACTTCATATCTTCTCCCTTTTTCTTTGTAAAGCGGCTTTAACACTATGGACGAAAAATACCGAAGCTTGGAGATGAACGGGGAGCTCATGAGAGGATTCCAATTCATCCATCCTGCATTTCAGGACCCAATGACCAAGGTGTTGACTATATTTCTTTTTGTCTTTGTTGTCAGAACTATATCCATGTCTGCGCAAGATTCTCTACTGCTGAAATATGCTAGATTTGTTTTTCTTTTTGCTACGCTGCACTACGATTAAATACAAAGGGTGCCAGCACTAGTAATTCGAGTACTCGGGTTTAATCGGCGAGCTTTATTTCTGATGTAAATCGAAGTCTCTATATCTCGCCTTGTATCAGCAGCTTTTGATTCCTACCAGAATCTTTATTCAGTTCCCTCTCCAGGTCTATCCAGCATGCCAGTGTTCAATGCCGAGAGTACTGGTCAGGATGTCGTCAATACATTCCCAGAGCAGGTCAAGGATCGTACCAGTAAGTCACCTCTTTGAACCCTCATTCCCTTTCTGAAACTCACTACTACAGTTGTCATCACTGGTGCCACTGGCTCAAGTATTGGGAGCGCAGCAGCATTGGCCCTTGCCTCAGCATCTCCACGCAAGATCATCCTCGTCAATCGAAACGCTACAAAAAGCCAAGAACTTATCCACTTCATTAATACGAGTTATCCTTCGGCTCCAATCACCCACATTGTCTGCGATTTGTCAAGTTTGAAATCAGTAGAGGAGGCGTCTTTTGAAATCTCGAAGGAAGCCCCGAGTCTGGATATCCTCGTCAACAACGCGGCAACGCCACCAGGTCCATACTCACAGACAGTAGATGGTATCGAAAGCCAATTCGCCATCGACTACGTCTCCCATTTTTTCCTCACTAATCTCTTGATGCCAAATATCATCGCTGCCGGACTAGGTGCTCGAGTAGTGAACGTCTCCAGCTCAGCTGCACGACATCGAACACAGCTTGATTTCGAAGATTACAATTTCTCCAATGGAGCGAAGTATACTGCGTTTGACGGATACACGCAAGCCAAGCTCGCCATTGTAGTTTTCACCATTGCTTTGGCAAAACGGATGGAGAAATTCCAGATGCAGTCGTTTTCACTTCATCCAGGATCTATACTCAGTTCTATGCGCTCGCAAGTCTCAAGTGATGATTGGAAAGCAGCTGAGAAGAGGAGAGAAGAGGCTGGAACGAAGACTGAAGGGGTGAAGAAACAGACGGTTGAACAAGGCTGCTCGACAATGTTGGTTGCGGCACTGGATCCGGAGCTCGCTGACCACTCGGGAAGCTACCTTAGTGATGGAGTTATTTCTACCGAGGCAATACATGCTCTTGACTCCGGTGCAGATGAAGCTGCAGAGAAGCTCTGGAAAATCACTGAGAAGTTGGTTGGGAGAGAGTTCACTTGGAGTTAATTGTCTACTTTGCTTATAAAGCATTGGGGGGGGGGGGGGGGGTCGTGAAATCATGATGAATTATCGCTAGTTGTACGTAGGCTCGAACTTGGACAATCCGAAGCTACAAAGGCCCCTGAATTCTGGGGTAGGCACACTATAAAACAATAAATGAATGGGCAATGTCGTTTATTAATGCGTCTAACAATCCTTGTTTTTAAATTAATCTACTTCTGAATAAGTATATTACTCGTCATGTTCCTCATCATACAAAATTCCCAGCATCAGCAAAGCATCAAGGCCTGGAGTTTCCGGTCCTTCAATCTCAAGCTTGACTTCTGTTCCTTTCCACAGAAACCAACAGCGGTACTTCTCCTCAAGATTCAAATGGCCCAGGAACTTGTCCTGCCCATCCTCAACCTTGGAGATCTTGTGACCATCTTTAATGTAGGTTGGAACAATCATCAAGTGCGTGGTCAATTTCTTTGCAAGCACACGTGAAATGGGCAGGATATCTTGGTTCGGTTGATAGAAATAACCACGTCTGCTGTAACGGACGAGAGCTTCGAGAGGTATCTCATGACATCCATGAAGACGTGGTTTCATTGTACGTAAATGACATCGCGCCATAGCGTATGGAGGGTCAGGTCCTCGTTTCTCGGAGGAGTCAACAAGTTTTCTTCAAGCAGTTCGTATCCTAGGGGCAATTTTGCCTCCAGCATATGAGGCTCAACGAGAGGAACTACCTCCAGCATATGAGAGCCTTTCAAAAGAGCAAAGCCTCGAGCAAAGGAATGCATGGATCAGAGAATTGAGTCTTCAAGCTGCATCTTGCCAGTCTCATTCCGGTAATAAAGAGAGCGAGGACTGAAAAATACCCAAGGCATACAAGTCGCATGAGAACCCCAAAGCTGCAGAAACACTGATCTCAGCCTTCGGCACCAGCTATTCTAGACTTGAATACTTCCTCATTCTGCATTTCCCAGGGCTGGAAGAAGGAATCGCAACGCCGGCGCCGAATTTGAATGAGCAGGAGTTTCTGGAGTTGGGAGGTGAGGCTGCGTGGCATGTGGTTAAGAAGTTTAGGAGCGAAGCAGTATCACGAATTTGGAGAGATTGGAGGTGTAAAAGGTCTTATTTGAGGAGTTTGTGGCCAGGTGTAGTTATGAAGGGGAAATGTTGTTGTCTAAGTGAAACTGTTTTTACTGCTGGCGCAGAAGCGCTGCCCGGGTCCTGTATTTTAGGGGCCAATGCGCTGAAATTCGAGACGCACGACGCTGTAAATTAGTGAGGGCTGTGCTGAAATTCAGAAGCTTATAAGCCCGACAGAATTAAGTGGGCCGGAATCTCGGAACATAAGTATTTCCATGTCACACATGCCTCCCTTCTTATACCTCTTACTCAGTCCAACGTCTTATATCTATCCCCATGCATCCGTTCTACCATAGCTGACCTCGCAATCTATCGAGACTCCGAGACCACTGCAATCTTGCTCTATGTACTCGTAATACCGCAAAGAACAGAACTGGTACGACATCTGCATCTTAGCTCGTGACTCTGTGGACATGTATGCCACCACCTCGGGGCAGCACGCCGAGTCTGGTAACAAACCAACTGGCAAACTCCGTCGATCGTGTGAAGGATGTCGGGATTTCAAAATTCGCTGTCATCCGAGTGAGAAGTATGGGGATCCGTGTCAAAGGTAACTTCGTCGTTCTTGGGAGAAGTCGGGAGTGAACCTAATTATTTTCTAGATGTATGAAGGAAGGCAAGAAGTGTGTATTCTTAGAGGCTAAAGCAAGGCCAAAAAGGGCTAGGAATTCAAAAATGTAGGTCAAAGGGAAGCATAACAAACACGTGATTCGTGAAGCATATCTGCCTTCTTCACTGTCTATATTCAGGCGATGGACATTTCCGAGTCCTCATTATCTAAACCTTCCTCAACTGACTTGTGAATGTAGGCGATTCAACGAATTGGAGCAAAAGCTTGAAAGTTTGGTGGCTATGATGACTTCTACCCAGGCTGGCACCAGTGGTTTAGAAGCAGACACAACCCCGAATGTTGAAACATATATAGAGCTCTCAGTGGAGAACCCAGATAGTATTCTGCCGAATACCATGGTTCCACAGTCTCAACATCCTTCCAAGCCCTGGAAAAACTTCCAATCCTTCGGGGGCCATCCTTTCCCAATGCCCTCAACTTCATTTACAATATTCGACGACCTGCAGGATGTGATATCAAGAGGTCTAGTCACTCTCGAAAAGGCCGAAGAATCCGTGCAGCATTTTAGAAGCACTGCCTCAAACTCTCCATTTGTTATCATCTCACCTGGTACTTCAATCGACTACCTCCGACGGCAAAAGCCCTTTCTGCTCCTCAACGTCCTTGCAATGGCAACCGTCAACAATATGAAGCTTCAGAAGCTTCTTGACCAAGAGATACGCGACACGCTAGGTCGAAGAGTGTTCATGTCCGGTGAAAAGTCCCTAGATTTACTGCAAGGGATTTTGATCTATCTCACCTGGTAAGTGTGAAGACCTCTGCTACAACCTGTCTGAAATTCACAGAACGACAGGCACCACTTCTTCTTTGAACCGGAACACCAGCAAATATATCAACTCTGCCAATTAGCGGCTTCTATGGCGATTGATCTTGAAATCACCACGTCACAGCAAGACAGAAAACATACTCCTTCCACATCCTTCAATCTCTTATCCGTCATTGCCGAAAGCCCCGTAAAGCTATCGTCGTCACAAGACGCCGAAGCAAAGAGAGCTTTACTCGGTTGCTACTACATCACATCCACGTAAGCGTACCGTGTCTTACATCCACTGCCCGCAACAACTAACAGCCTGATTCAGACTGTGCATTGGGCTGAGGAAGCCCAACAACATAAAATACACCTCTTACACCGACGAGTGTTGTCAAGTCCTTGCCGCAGCCCAAGAATTCGAATCAGACGCTCTCATTCCGTACTTCGTCCGCTTGCAGAAGCTCGCCCATGATATAAACCAAACCTTTGACTATGACGGACATCAAGACCTGGCCTCGCTGGACCCAGTCAGGGTAGACATGCTAGTGAAAGCATTCAAGCAGCAGCTGGGTGAGTTTGAGAAGACCTTCCCGGCCGAAATCTGGAAACACGGTACGTTCTGTTCTGCTCTTCCCGCACGTTATACCGCTAACAGTGTAATCAACGTGCAGACATGCTCAGACTAGCATACTACCATCTCTGCACCTTCGTCAACGAAGTCGGCTTCCACAGAACCGTACTGCCTCCCCCGGATCTCAGGACCGACCAATCAAGCTACCACACCTGGGATTCGTCCATCACGCGAAGCGAAGTCCTAATCAGCTGTCTCAACGCCGCCAAAGACTACCTGGAACGCTACCTCTCGCTCCCCACAGAAGCTCTATTCAACGCCACGTTCGCCGACCACGCAAAACTAGTCTACAACGTCCTCATCCTCAAGCTCTTCGCTACGTGGGTCACCGACGACCATTCAACCCTCGACGCCGCGCATATCCAGCACAGCGCCAACTTCCTCTTCTACACGCAAGCGCTCGTGTGCAAGTTCGAGAGCATGGGCAAGATATACCGCGACTGTGGATTGTTGGAAGACTACACGCTGTATCTAGCGCAGCTGTTCCGCATCTACGAGAGTCGCGCAAGAGACGAGATGGGCGCTAGGCAGTTCTCGACCAATATTTGCTTGGATATGTCGGTCATGCAGATGCTCCCGAGCAATGCTTCTTGTCATGGCCAACACTCTTCTTACGACCCTCGTCCACCTACCGTAGTTCAGACGCAGGAGCATTCAGAGGAGCAGTGGGCGGATATGTTGGTTAGGTGGTCGCCGTCCCTGGATCAACACGACTTGTCATCCGAAGCCCTTTTCACGTGAGCGGAATCCTAGAAGACGCATGTCAAGCCCTCTGCCTAGGTCGAAACCTGTGCAGATGTTCGATCACTGGACAGTGAGTGACATAGTCATCCTGTACAACCTCACTACGAGCGAACCCATCCATCCATCCATCCAACAAGGAGATGCAGCCAGCACAGCACCAGCTCCCGCAAACCCATTCATTCATCCCCAATCAAAGCACAATTCCACAACACCCACCAAGTCCAGCCCAGTATACGAAGTGCCCACACTCGCCGCAACAAGAAAAAAAAAAAAAAACTCTATCTCCTCATCAGAACCACAAAGAATCGAATGGAGATGCGTTCGGTACAATCCCATCCAATCCAATCCAAGCTGATGAGATCATTCAAGGAAGAAATATACTCCGCGCTCGCGCTCGCGCTCCGGACGGAGATACAGGATGCGGATTCAGGGCTGTTGATGGCTGATGGATGCATCACCATGCTGATAGGGGAGTTGTATTGGTGAACGGAAGAAGATGTGGATGATTGAATGAATGAGGTAGGAATATAATGTATCTGGAACGAATCCTTATAGGCAGGATGAGGAGCAGGCGCAGGAATGATGCGACTTTCTTGCTCGCTTTCGCAATTGCCGCTTAGCATGATGAATGAGACTTTAAAGAGGTAAGATCAACTCTGATCATTTTAGTAATGCATTTGTATCTACTATACAGATATGTCTGTCATCTGCAGTTCAAAAAGCTTCCCTTGACCACCAGGCAATGTGATGCAATGTGACGCCCTACAAATGCGGTTTGTATGTATACGATGATCTCAAGTATTCTTTTGTATTTCCCATTTTTATTCATCCCCCCTATAAGCATTATATTTTATCATATTATAATGTATGTCCACCTAAAATTTACATCCAAAGAAGTGCGTGCATGCACGCATACATATATCATCATGCCATATGTTAAAGTACAAAGTGAAGAAACGGCTCTCTAGTTGAGCGACAAGATGGCGGCGAACGTCAAGAAGACGAGCGCGAGAGGCGAGGCGATCTCGGCTGCTGAGTTTGCGTTGGGTACGCTGCTGCTCGAGGTGGAGGAGCTGGCGCTCGTTGTCTTAGATGAACTTGAGCCGGAGCCTGTGGGTCCTTTGTTAGCTATTATCCTGGGAAGAGATGGTACGGGAACTGACTTGTCTTGCTTGCGCTGCTTGAGGCGCTAGTGGTAGAGTTTCCGCTGCTGGTTGCGGATGCGCTTGCGGTCGTGCTGCCTGAGCTTGAAACTGTGGTCAATGTAGAGGCGGAAGCAGAGGCAGATGAGGAGGTGGTTGCTGATGCTGAGACTGATGCCGAGGAAGCTGAGGCTGAGGCCGAGGCGGATGTGGAGACAGCGAGAGATGAGGTTGCAGTTGCTCCCTGCAAGCCAAAGTCTGGGCTGTAGTTGGTGGATGTTCCGTCGGAGATCTCAATTGCGTAGTTGCCGATTGGGAGGTCTGATGGAACGGTCCATACGTATGGGGAGGTGGTTGAGCCGGCTGTGAACTGTTAGCAGTGCGCACATCAATACAGTAGCAATTAGGACGCTTACAGGTGATGGTGCTGACGGTCTTCAGGTCAAGAGCAGCGCCGTTCTTGAGAGTGAGGGTAACTGGGCCCTCGGCTCCGGCCCATCCGATGGAAAAGGTCTCTCCAACAGTGATCACGTAGTCGGTGTTGGTCAAGTTGACAGCAGCATTGACACCGACGAGGGCGGCAGCGGCGAACAGGAGGCTTGTGAATTGCATTTTGAAGGGGTTTCAAGGTTGTCCGTGTAGGGAATGTGGTGTCTTTGATCTGAAGCGTCAAATTCCTTTTATCAGTCCCGGGGCAAATGAGGGTCGCGAGTTGACGCATGCGACAAAGAAAAGGAGTGTGGGGACTTACATGCAGAATGTGGGATCTGTACAACGAATGTGATATCGAAAGATGGAGATATTTTACAGGTGTGAATCGGACAATGCAATGAATGAGTGTTAGAAACAGCGACGGAGAGACGAGGAACAAAAGAAGGAATGGGAGGGGGGGCGCTTGTGCTTATGCTAACGGAGGTGTGAAGAGAAATGAGATATTAAGCTTAGCTCCATCTAATTAGCTAGCACTAGCCGCATGAAGCTTAAATCTAATGAAAGAGTCAAGTGAATACGGGGAAGTTGATCTGCGGCTTCTGATTGGCCGAGTTCGATGTCATCATCTGGACACCCTCTTTTGCATTCACCGAGCCAAGCCAAGCCAAGCCAAGCCAAGCCAAGCCAACCTCACAGAGTACAGCTTGAGGAGTTGCATCCAGCTGCCATCTTCCACAACAGCTCTTGTGTACCATCCCATCGTACTACATACACAACATTTCCCATCTATAGAACCTCAAAGCTTCCAGAAAACATCAGAGACCGTTATGGTGCTATTTCTGTCCCGAGCGGCATAGCATCAAATTGCCACCAGGAATATCCGGCTGAGCCGCTTTAGACTTTGTACCTGCCTTAGCTCGGTACCAGATTTTCCCTCTCTCTCTCACTCGCACAGTCGCAGTCGCACTTTCGCACAGTCGCATTCAGGGGCTAGGCTGAGCTGGGCTGGGCTGGGATGGTCAGCATCACACGATCCTTCGGTAAGACTGGCCATAATTTAAATCTCGTGTCGCACAGCGGATAAAAGTCAAGTCCGGCTTTCTGCTCTCAATCAAAATTTTCAGATTTCATATAGAACTAGCAACATCACGTGACGTTTATATCTATGTATCCTCCCCCACCTTTCTCCCACGTATTACTACGACGTCTGCGGCGCGCCAAAAGAAGACGGATCTCTAGGAGAACGCAGTCCCTAAGGCGACTAACTAAGGCGATATATGCTACGAGCTGCACGCGTTACCGTAACTCCCGGCGGTACAGTCCTGATATAGAATAGCTATCCCAATATAGTCTTCTATGCAGCAACCTAAGCTTTATCAAACCCTATAGGCACCTATAAACAGCGGATTATATGCGAGAGCAATACTATATACAGTTAAGCTAGGAGGTAGAGAGGGAGGATATAAAGGTGCTTTAGTTTCTCTCCTCTTTAAGACCTGCGGCCTTCAAGAGGCTTTTAGACCTATAGCATACGGACGATTCAAGTAGAGGCAACCTAAGGACGTTTTCCGACCTTAATTGGCATATAGTAGAAGGGAGGGCATATAGGAGGCTAGGAATAGGGGCTTTTAGAAGGAGATCCAGCTTTCTAGGTGTGGATTTCACTCCACTTATAAAATCTGGTGGTCTATCCTAAGTAGCGGGGAAGGTTATAGTTATATAGCCCCTTTTTAGGCTACGCGCATGCAAGAACTGCTTTCTAGGGTTTATAAGGGCATTAAGACACCGCGGGATTAGGGACCCGGGACTATATATAAGGAGAATCTTTTTTTCCTCTTATGGTTTTTGGCTCTTCTTATATATAGGACTTTATATGTAAAAATCCGTAGCTTAGCACGACCTCGTGCTCCTAGGGAGGTCCGAGTCACTATGCTCCCAGATCATAAATCAATATCATCATCATTATCATCAACTCCCACGTATACTAAAAGCAGACAGACCTAAAAAGGGATTCACTCTCTGCGTTAAACCATCATTCTTCACCAGTCGTAATCATGTGTACTCATCACTAGGTATTCTCCAACCTTATCCTACCTACATACCTACCATATTCCAGTAGAAAGCTATATTACTACCGTACTTAAACACACATTATATTAGTATTATGATACTTTAAAAATACGTTTATTCATTAATCGGCACCTATCATGACCTATCATCTACAAACCAACTTTTCTTTTCTTTTGTTATCCATCGAACCACACCTTTTATGAATCATCTATCTACCCCTCTCCCAACGCATCCATCCTTCTCGTTCTTCACTCCTCCTATAAACGCCAAACCCAAGTATCATATCCCGACGCCCAGACACCACGCTTCTCATTAACAATCAAACTTAAAAAGATGTACCATTAGCGGGCGCACCCCACATCGATGGATCACCCGGTCCAATATCCCGGGAAAATGTTGGAAACCCACTAATGTCATCAGTCGGGCGTGCAGTACCTCTACCTCCACCGCCGCCATCCATTGCCTCCCACGGCTCTGTATAATATATCTCCTCCCAACCGTAAAGCTCCGGTTCCGGCTCGGTCCACGAAACCTTCCTTCTATGGCCTCTTCCATCGTCACGAGAACGATGAACAGGGGACAGAATGACTGGTTTCTCGGCGACTTTAGAGCGATTACGACGGCGGGGTTGGAAGTTTTCAGGAGATGGGAATCGTTGTGGTGCTTTGCCTTTCCTATCGCGTTTGGACGTCGGGTAAGGTGGTTGTTCCTCATTGGTGTGTGGAGGTGTTGGGACTCGGGGCATGTTATAAGGATCTGAAAACATTAGCTTGTCAAACTCTCAGTTGGACATTCGTCAAAAACTTACCATCATAAGTGACTTCCGAAGCACCCAGCTCCGAATCCTCGTACCTGTCTCTGCGATAACCGGTTCGAGTCGATGTTCTACGACGCTCGGGCTCAGGTTCGGGCACATCCCAGTCATTGTTGTAGTAATTCTCAGCCTCCTCCCTCGCAGGAAGTGCCCTTGTTCCATTGGGAGAATCGTACGTTGACCTGTCTGACTTTTCTCTTCTACGCTCTGCCTCGCGTTGGCTTTTAGGCTGGTACTCATAAGTGCGTTCAACTGGGCGCTCTCTCGGTCGTTGAGCTGGCTCGTGAGAATGATATGAGGTCTGTGAATCCTCAAAACTGTTCAGTTTGCGCGGAAGCCGCTCGTCCGCATAGCGATTTTGAGACATCTTTCTTGGCGGTTTATGATTGTCCAAGTTTCGCGACTTACTTCGGCGCTTCTCCCGAACTGGAATTTCAACCACTGGCTCGTACTCTTCAAACCACGCTGACCTCTCTGGGGATTCGCGATGCCTAGGTGCTTCGACATATCGGAAAGATAGAGAGGGTGATCGTTGACGAGTTGGCTCAGTAAAAACTCTTCTTTCCTCTCTCGGCTCATATCGCGTGTATGCTGCATCCGCTTGAACGATAATTGGGGACAATGCTCGCCCATATGCTCTGGCTTCTTCATCAAAATCTCGTTGGCGGCGTCTCCCTCTAGATCGTCGCTGCTCTTCCTCGACTGCAATTTCAACTGGAGGTCTGAGTCTTACATATGATCCTTTCACTTTAATCGGAGGCGAGTTTTCTTCTTCGTCGGAGCTTGAATCCTGCGTCTAAAAATTTGTCAAAATATTGTTTAACTAGCCCTGAAACCCGGGCACATGTTGTTGAGTCTCTGCCAGGACAAGGATGGTCGAGTCCTTACCTTTTGATTCTTCTTCTTAGTTTTTCCCTTCTTACTTGCGGTTTTTAGGGGGCTTATTTCGGAACAGGTCGTTACACTGGCATCTCTCTGACACTTCCTGCAGAACGCGGGCGTTGGTTCGACTCCGTGAGTTATCGGATTATCACGGTGGTATTGCCTAGAACGTAATCTGCCACACTGGGCGCAGATATGCTTGGTAATTGTAATTGTCGTTCTGGAAGTTACTAGCTGAGGTTTTGACTTCAGGGCGGGATCTGACGAATGTTTATGCAAGTTGTAGTGTCCGTCGATTTGTCTGAGAGTCTCGAGATCTTGTTGGGTGGGCCCTCCTGGATGGGGGGTTGGGTAGGTGAATTGCTGCTGCGGCTGAGCTTGTGGTTGGAGCATTGGAACTACCCCGTAATACGGGTAATTTTGTTGATATTGTAGTGGATACGCCATTGGCTGTTGTTGTGGTATTATATATTGCTGAGGTACGTATGCAATGCCACCAATTATCAACGGAGGGGTCATTGAAGGAGCCGCAGAGGCCGATCGTTTGTGAGTTCGAACGACTCTTGGGGGACCGTAAGCCTCTCCCTTTCCAAAAGCGTCTCCTAGAAGATTGACTGTCGCTTTTGAACCGGACCTTGGTTTCTTGTTTCGCGCCATGACGAGCTTTCCATTGACCTTTGTAAGGTATGGTTGACCGGCTGGGATTACTCTCACGCTCTCCTTGCTCTTCGCGCTTCCTCCACTTCCAGAAGAACTTCTCGGAGGACCAAGTCTGGGTGATCTGTAACTAAATTAGGTTGTGTTTCGGAATGAAAGCGGAAGAACAAGCAAAAGAAGGGACACAACAGCTGTAGACTGGGGATATTGAGTAAGGCATTAATGCCAGAAGAGCGCTTACAAGGTGAGCATTGCGCCAACTTGCCGGTGGCTTGCAAATAGTTTGAGAATCAATTGTCCGTAAAGAGTGAGACAAGAGATTTTTGGAGGGAGAAAAGGTAGCAAAAAGGAGCGAAGCAGAATTGCAAGAACAGCAGCGAAAGGGGTGACGGCTGCGTGGTTGCAGGACTGGATGTGCGAATTACACGTAACGCATTGTTGGAGATGAGGATGATCATCCTGAGGAAAGATCGATATGATTTTTCTTTTGGAAGGTGCGAGATACTCCCATGTGAGCTAAGCAGACACCGCTCTCGAATGGGGAGGTTGGTGTTGGAGCAGACTGGTGGGCTTGTGCAAGTGAATTGACGATAAGCAATTCTACTTTTGGTGCCAAAAATCACACATTGCAGAGGAGAACGGCAGCGATTCACAAAGAGACTTGGGTTTGATAGCATGACAGCTGTCGAGATGTTGGCGCCCTATCACTAAAAGTCAAAGCAAACGAGAACATATTACCTGACTAAGGTAGAGAGGTCTCATCGTCAAAACAAAAATCCGTCACACCTTCTATCATGTCAAAGACTAAATCACCCATGCTGTCCCTCATCAATTCACATAAGGAGCTGCTTAAAGAAGGAAGCACCGCCCACAATTACTTACTGAAGACAAGAAGCAACGCATTGTAAAGTCGAGACTTCTGCATTAACAGAACACTTGATAGCCAGCGCACCAAGTGTTTGGCAGCCCTTTTTCGCTATCAAAAGGACGCAAGCAAACATAGACACTGGCCACACACAGTTTTACCCTAAACCGTCAAACAACCAATAAACACAACAATCACATCTGCTCACTAGAAAGCAAGGGCCACATATTTACGAGTACAATTCATCTAAACACAAAAGATCGCTGCATTTTTTGGCCTCGCCCAGCCAAACCAAGCCAGGAACGCATGAGATATGATACAAAAACCAAGTTACATCTACCGCCTTTACTCCACCCTCAAAACTTTTGGTCCTCTCTTCTTAATTGTCTTCTTCTTCTTGTTACCTCTCTCAAACGATGCTGCGGATGCGAGATCTCTGCCCGCGTTGTCAAGGTCCTTGACCTTGAAGATTCGGATAATCCAGTTCTCACTGGTGAAGGCTTCCTCAACGGTGTTGAGAGTTGGCCCAACGTCGGGTAGCTTAACACCGCGGACGCGGTCTTGACATTGTCCAGGGGGGAAGAGCGTGCAGTAGTTGTAGTATGACATCTTGTACCTATAAAAATGTTAGTTGGGACGAATGATGCTGCTGTGTCGTTGCTTACATCAAACTGTTCTTCATGGTCTCGGTGGCACCTTCATCCACTCTGTATTCTCCTCTGTCAGTGAAGAAGTCACGCTCCTTCACCTCATCGGGCCAAATACCCTCGGCAATACGGACCATCCACAGGAACTTGTTGATATCATCTCCGGAATAGCCCAAAAGACCACCAAAGACAACAAGAACGTAGTCCACTTCATGCTGGCGCATGATAGGGTAGCTGACTTCCTCGCGAGAGCTCATTGCCTTTCCAACAGTGGCAATGTGGGTGTTGTTCCAGGTGTTGTTGTCAACAAGCGTTGGTCTATCAGCCATACCACCAATTTGATATCCGTAATCCCACCACGACATAATCTTGGCATCTTCTGCGGTATTCTGTCGAAGCCATTGGTATGCCTCTCTGTAGTCATCAATGATATGTTGAGATCCGTCAGGCATTCTGCTTGCCAAGACAACGGATGGGGATGAATAAGCATTCGAGGTGACCCAGGTGCAATGAAGAACGAAGATTAAGAGGTAAGAAGTCAGCGCGCTTACAACGGACATCTTGGAGAATGTGGTGTAGATGCCGACGAGTGGCTGTCTCATTGAACGAAGGCCATCCTGCTTAGCCGCTTTCTTGCTTGGAGCTGGGGTACCGTTGGAGCCTGCCTCGGTAGCAGAGTCCCCAGGGTACTCGGGAGACTTAAGCAAAAGATAAGTATCGAGTAAGCTTGACACTGCCAGAGCAGCTGCAACACACACGATAGGGGTAAGAGTAAGCATAAGTCTGACCATGACACCGGAGAAGTAACTAGCGAGGATGGAATAGACAACCACAAAGACTTGCTCATCGGCAAGCTTCTGGAAGCAAAGGTACACTCCAGCCGGGAAGAGCCAGATGAGCAAGTTGAGATCGAAGAAATACGCAGGCCACGCTGTTGGCTGATGCTCAGACACAGAAGCAATAATGGGAATGTGGATCTTTGCATAGCCGGTATCCCAGAGAGAGTAGAATCGACCAGTCCATGGAGCGATGACGCCAGAAACAGTCAAAAGGACAAGACCTCCGAAAGAAATACCAAAGACCAAGAGGACGAAGCCTCGAAGTAAGGTTCCGAACTGCTTGCTTGGAACACCCGAGCGCACAAACTCAACGAAGCCAACCAATTGGAGGAGGCCAAAGACACCTGACATAATTAGCAATTGAGACAAGGACCGGTGTTAATATGCTTACCAAGTGCAGACATGTGCTCGGAACTGCGAATAGGCAAGAAACCAACGAATGGAATCTGCATACTCGCCAACGTCCCCAGAGCGTACCAGGTGCAGTAGCTGACATACAACCTTGGGCTGAAACGGCCCATACAGACCAGCACAAAAACGTGGAGAGGAATCAAGTTGGTAATGAAGACGTATCCACCCCAAGCAGACACCATGTATCCGTAGAACAGAGCACAGAGAGCTCCCCACATAGCAGAACCAAGCTTAACGGCCTTAATCCAGAGATAGAAGGTAAAGACAAGAAGGAAAATAGCAATAGCCTCGTTATCGTAGCTGCCAGCAACTGATCGAGATATATATCCCGGGGCAATTCCCATAAATGCGGCTGCGAGAAGGCCAGCTGAAGGAGATGTGGACATCTCGTTCGTGAAAAGGTAGGTTGCGAAAGCCGTCAGCCCAGAAAAGCCAGGTGCGAGGAGCACACAGATATTTCGAATATCAACCGGGATCGTGAGAGCGCGTAGGGCGTGGTAGATGGCACCACTGGTCACCATGAGACCTGGGTAGAGTGTTCCTCCAGTAACTCGACCAAGTGGATGCCATGTTCGGTCATCAAACCAGTCCCAGAAATCATAAAATCCATTCGAAACGAGGTATTTTGTTGCTCGAAAGTTGAACCAAGGATCAACTATATTTCAGTTAGCTTTAGGAGCGTTTTCGGAGCTTCGATAGTGGTGGATGGATGTTGATGATTTCGAGGGGTAGGTACTGACATTCGTGAATAATACTCTCGAATCCTGCGTATTCTCCAAGTTAGCAAGTATTTCAGATAATGGAATTCGATTGTAAAGTTCCCAAAATGCCCCCAATCATGACAATCAATCAAAGAGTTGAGGGCGGAATGGAAGCTTTTCCTAGTTGGAGAACTGGCATACGTACGGATTACTGAGAAGAGACGACTGGCAATCGCTGCAGCCGCAATTAAAACAAGAATTGATAAACGAAGGATTCCTCTTGTATTCCTCCCCGTATTTCCCTTGAAAAATGGATCTGCTACTGTTTCCGCCATTGTCGTGGTTGAATCAGACAAGTTGTTGCGAATGACATCGATTATGAGATGTGTTCGTTGCGTGAAGCTTGACGCGGGTCTTATCCCTGCTTCTACGCTAAACCACTTTTGTGCCCAAATACTTCTTGCAACTGTCTTTCTAAAATGTTTTAATTATTTCTTCATTTGGTAGCTCCTGATATTCTTACACACTTAGAGCTTTTATGTAAATCGTATCTCCAGAATTTAGCAATGTTTTGGGGTAGCAGATATGATAGCATTTCGTGACACTGATGCCGAGCGCTAAAACCAAGTGATACAGAACGGTGGAAAGTAAAGCTAGGTCTATTACTAAGTGTAAGTGAAGGACACATCAATGTATCGAAGGGACATCCTATCAATCACGGAATTCGAGACCCCCCATTCCTTAACATCATTGTAACTAAGTAATAGTCGAGCGGAGAGATCTTGTGACAAATCATACAGTCACATTATAGACCTCAATACATATACCAAATGCACAGTATACAACGCTTCAATCGCTCAATTGAGTATCTCCCAGTCTTACTCTCACTATGAGTACAAAATGTACAAGAAGTATGCGTATCGAGATCTAAGGCTTTTGTATCAACCGAAATGGCATCGCAGCAGGCCTAACCAGCAACCCCAAATGGCCTACTTGACAATGCCGTCTATCTTTGCCCATCATTACATTCGTAGCCGCTCCTTGCCTCCCCCAATCTACTTGGCCTCAGCATCGAGATTGTTCAGCAACGCCTCCAGGTCGAATTTTGAATCGTTTGGGTCTAGTATGGCTGTTTACATATGTTAGTGATCGTTACAAAAATGATTAGATGTCCCATTTATTGTAGACTACATCTGCAAGCATGCAGCACAGCTTCTGGAGACGTGGGTTCCGTTTGGTTCCGCTCCAAAGAAAGAAATATTTGACTAAACATACCACCTCCCGACGGCTTAGAACTCGCTGGTGCATTCTTCTTTGCAAATTCTGCCTTCGCTTGCTGGATCAATTGTTGCTTGTGTTCGTATTCTCGGTCGACAGCAGCGGCTTTTGAGGCCGATGTAAGAGATCTTTGGTGGTAGAATCCGTAGAAAACACCGGCGCCCAAGGCAGACCACCGGGCAATCTATAAGTAGAGAAGTTAGCTTGTAGTTCATATATTCGAATTGAAGACAATTGAACAGCTCCCTAGGCAGTGGAAGGGCCATGTCGCGCTTGCGCAAAAGTTGGACGTACGTTTACTCCTGTCGAAGCCATGGAGAAATCTAGTTGGGGACTCTGAGGAGAGTTTGTGACGAATTTGATGAGTAACGATCTGTCGGAGGGATCAATTGACACTATATCGCAGGCGTGAGGGTCGCAGGGCGTGGTTGTGGATAATGCGAAGCTCTTTCTTGCTTTCCTAAGGGGATGGGATTTCTCGGGTCGGGTAATCTTGGGGAAATCCTCTACACGTGATACAGCGGGTGCATTACCGAATCGGGACAGGACGCGGCTGCCAAACGACGCGCGAGACACGACCACGGCTTTCTATTACTGTCAACTTCATTCCTTCATTCTTCTTGACTGGGTTGAACATCCTCTCCACCATCCGAATCTATTCGAACTTATCCAAAAACCACAAAGTCCCGCAGCCTACTTGTCGTCAAAAAAGGATCTACATAACCGTACCCCATCGACATGGGCATGCGTCGCAACCATGATGCAACAACGAAGAGATGAGATCTTAGCCAAGAAAGCGAAGCTTGCGGAGCTTAAAAGACAACGGGAACTGCGCGCCAGAGATGCTTCGGGAAGCAGAATTGGCAGCGGGACCTCTGGTGATGTAAAGATTCCCTTTCCCCCCTGAAGCGAATCTGGCCGAGGTATTCTAACAGAGCTTAGATCCTCTCCCAACACCTTCAAAAATCTCTCGGGATACTGTAGATGCATTAGTTGCATCGGTTCTGGGCTCCGACAAAAGCAGACCTACCTCGACTGGTCCGATCGGATCTCCAGCTGGCAAAGGAAGTCGACCAAACAGTGTATTGAGTGCCGGACAGCTAAGCAACGAGAACTCGGAATATGCGGATACCTCAGCAGGCCAGGCCCAAAGACCACAGTCGCTTTCGATAGCAGTTCAAAGTCTCTCTACCGCGCCCCTATCTACAGTCTACGAATTCTCCCCGTCGCCAGTCAAGGAGGTCTTCTCATATAGCAAAGGCGTGCAGACAACAGAAGAATGGGCGCAAACATCGACCCCCAAGGATTACTCGGAGGATGACGAGGCCGGAACGCCAGCTACATCGACGCCTAGTAAGCGGTTGGGTAGGAAGGAGCGGGATAGAGAGGAAGAGCTACGAGAGAATATAAGAAAGGAGCTTGAGGAAGAACTAAAAGCTTCCCATGACATATTAGTCGATGGACCTCTGAAATCACCCTCCGCACCAGCGAAATTGAACTTCCCAGCGAGAACTTTGACGACCGAGGAAATCAAAGCTGCTACGTCTTCAGACGAGTTTATGGACTTTGTGGAACGATCTAGCAAGATTATTGAAAGGGCTCTGGATCAAGAATACGATATTTTGGCAGACTATGCACTTAGCGGTGCTGCAGGAGTGGACGATGATGATGATGAATACGGCAATACACGAGGGAAGGGTAGGCGGCGGGTGAGGGAGATTGCACAATTCTACGATGAGAGATGGTCGAAGAAGCGGATGGTCAGCGATATCAATTTCTCCCCCAAGTTCCCCGAACTCGTACTAGCATCATACACGAAGAATCCGTCAGCACCTCATGATCCCGATGGACTTGTTCAAGTATGGAATATGCATCTTCACGACAGACCGGAGTTCGTTTTCCATGCACAATCTGATGTATTGACCGCGAAGTTCTCACCATTTCATCCGAACCTAATTATTGGAGGCGCCTACAGCGGCCAAGTTCTACTCTGGGACACTAGGGCCAAATCGGCGCCTGTTCAAAAAACACCTCTTACTGGATCTGGACATACCCATCCGGTTTATTCGGTTGATATTGTTGGCACCCAGAATGCTAACAACATCATATCATGCTCAACAGATGGTGTTGTATGTGGTTGGACCGTGGATATGCTTGCTCAACCGCAAGAATTACTCGTCTTGACATCTCCTCCACCTGCCAAAACAGAGGATGTCAGCCCTACATGCATGGCCTTCCCCCAAACCGATCCAACCTATTTCCTAATCGGCTCGGAAGAGGGAACTATATTCCCTTGCCATCGATACGACAGGGCCGGTGCAAAAGCTGGAGTTGACCAGAGGGTCAGCTACCGTGGCCACGCAGCACCTGTAATGTCTATGGATTTCCATCCAGCTCGTGGACCAGTCGATCTTGGAGACCTTGTCTTGAGCAGCTCTCTTGACTGGAGTGTGAAATTGTGGAAGGTTCGTGCTCCAGCTGCAACCTCTACCACTGGTATTACTGGAGAAGGACACTCTGTTGCTCCAATACTTGACTTCACTCGAGAAGATGTGGTTTATGATGCAGCATGGTCACCGATCAAGCCTGGTGTATTCTCACTCGTGGACGGAGCTGGCAACCTGGAAGTTTGGGACATAACCGTCGATGTCGAAGTTCCGCTTGCTAAAGTTCAACCCAGCGGACGCAAAGGAGGCAGGAGTATAATGTCGAAGAGTCTCAACCGCGTCGCATGGGAAGAAACAGAAGGGAAGCGTGTTGCAGCAGGTGGCATCGACGGCTCTGTCACCGTCTTCGAAGTCGGACCCGATCTAGGTGGTAAGGATAGTGCCAGAAACGAGGAATGGACGAGTGTGAAGAAGCTGGTTGCAAGATTAGAGTCCCAGGCTCCGCTTGTCAACGGTGCCATTAATGGCTTATAGTAGTGTGAGGACGGTTTGTTGCGAGTTTTCTGGTCATGTGCTACATATGGCGTTTGTTGCATATACCCACCCTAGTCATCAAGCTCAAATAGATCATTTTATGAGACATAGTATCGTGGTGTCAGGGTGTCTTGTTGAATTCCAAACTGTCGGTTTCCATCATTTGTTATCTAGTTGGCTCTTCACATCTTAATCCTTCATCGAGCTCCCTACAAGTATATCGCGTTCATATCCCCATCCTCCTTCTATGGTCCCATCGGTCTTCATTCTCAGCCCCCATTAGCCTGCCACTCATTCTCGCTCTACTACCGAACTCCAATACTAACCAAAAGCATCTTACCGAGTATTCCCAGGCTACTAGTGCCACGCTCCTTCATGAAACTCTGCATCCGGACTACCTCTGCGGCAAAACGGTCGCTAGAACAAATAGTGCTTCGTAGCCATCTAGTCTAGTCCACCGCCTGCATAATCAGAGAGAGCTGCAGCCTGCACGACATTCTGTACTGTACAGAGTATGTACATGCTAGGCCTTCCATCGCGTGCTTCTAGAAATCCTACGGCATTCGCCTGTAAATCGTGCACAGCATTCATGACATCAAAGATCGAGCAGGATCATTAACCACACAGTACAATACGCATTTTTTACAGTACTTCGTACAACATGAATGACAGACATCCAACCGGTATGTCCGAATCCGTAGCAGTAGCAGTAGCAGCATCAGTCATCCTTCGCTCGCTGACATGGCAGGCATAAGCGGGTTTCTGGGGACAGCACAGCACAGCGTCACAGCGACAACATGAATCCATCAGCCTAAAACGGGCAACGAGACAATGCAGTGCGTCGCGCCCCCTCTCCGCGCCGCCTGCTGACTGACTGACATTCACGCTTCAGGCTTACCTACATACAGTTCTCTAGGCACAGTACCTACTCCTAAGGCTACCTGACCTTCAACTCGCCTTAACCCTAATCACCATCCCCTTCGGATAATATCTGACATGACATGCATGCACATTACACCCTACCCCACTTCTCTCCGACTTCCCTCCCCTCCTTTCCCCTCGCTTCCGCGTGCTCGCGGCGTGCGCTGCGCTCAGCAGGGATACCGAAAGAGGAAGACGATATCCGATGCCATGCATGCCTTTAGACCTTTCCTAACTTTCCTTTACTCCGCAGTTTGGATGGATAGTCCGGATGGAGTAAGGAAGGAGGACAGGGTTAGGTTGGGCTGGGGAAGGTTTCATTCGGGCCTACTTGTAACTGTACTGTAGGTATCTCTTTGGGGTTTGCGCTTGCGTTTGCGTTTGCGTTTATTGGGTATTTATGTACGTAGGTAGGTGCTGTATCACATTCCTTTGCGGGTTGCAGGGCATGGCACGGAGTATATGCGTTAGGGTGGGATGGGATGGACGGGGTGAGTTGAGGGTTCCTGCGTCATGTAGGTCGGTATTGTATCTGTGTTGGCTGTGGGTAGGTAGGTATCTGGGGAAGGAAGGAGCCGGTACCTACCTACGTAAGTAAGTAAAAGTCGGAGGGTCTGGACGGGTGGGGCTGTGGTACGATGGAGCGGATGGGTAAGTACCGGTGGCTTTGGGATTGCTGCTTTTATTGTATGTGGATGTGCCATATGGGGGTTGAATGGTTCACTGCGCATTGCGTATAGATGTAATTATTTGCATACTTTGGATTTATCCTGGGAAGAAAGATACCTCTGTTATACTTATGCTTTGTTATGCCGGCATGAAGCGAGCCCCTGAGCGCGGTGGTACAAACGGGTCGAAAACTAAGTTTACATTTGTTGATGCAAATGTTCAGCACCATCTATCTACACCTTTGCCGCTTCGAATTCCTTGCTAAAGGGCGAAGTTATATATCCATCCTCTTCCTTTGCAGTGTAGAACTTGCTTCTATCATACGGCTCTAGTGCAATTCCTTGCTTGAGTCTAAACACCAGATCCGGATTCGAGATGAAGTATCGCCCAAAGACAATTGCGATATCTTTATCCTTGTACACCGAATCGACAGCTTCCTTGGCAGTATCGGGCTTGAAGCCTCCTGCAAGAAACACGGGGCTTGTCTTCGCCCAAATGTCGACTATAAAGTCGAGGGACTCTACAGTAGCCTCTTCAACATCAGTTGATCCATTCACCCTCGACTCGACGACGTGGAGGTACGCCAGCTTGAGCTTCTTAAGCTCTTCAGTAAGGTATGTGAACTGAGGGACGGGATCCGCCATCTTCATGTCCTGGTATGGCGAGTAGGGACTCAGTCTAATTGCAGTCCTTTCGGCGCCCACAGCTTTGACCACAGCCTTTGTAACCTCGATGCCGAACCTAGCCCTGTTCTCCACGCTTCCACCCCACTTGTCCGTCCTCTTGTTTGTAATATCTTGCGTAAACTGATCAACCAAGTATCCATTAGCCCCATGGATTTCCACGCCATCAAAACCAGCCGCCACAGCATTCTTCGCAGCCTGAGCATATAGTCCAATATACTCATGGATTTCAGCTTCCGTCAAAGGCGTAGGTACATCCTGTCCAGTAATCGGGACATCGCTCGAACTCTTTACCTGAGCATCCGGGCCCAATTCTGCCTTCAACACGCTCGCGTAGGCAGCTCGTCCCAGTGCCCACAGTTGCAAGTATATGAAAGAACCCTTTTCGTGCACGGCATCGGTCACGTGTTTCCAGGACTTGATTTGCTCTTCGTTCCAGATCCCTGGGGCGTTGGGAAAGCCGGCTGCTTGGGGTGCGATAAAGGTTGCTTCGGTGATCAGAAGTGTGCCTGGGGCGGAACTGCGCTGCTCATAGTACTTGGTGACGAATGGGAGAGGGACGTGTTTATCATCGGCACGGAAACGTGTGAGTGGTGCAAGGACAACCCGGTTTTGAAGTTGGAGATGGCCGACTTTGAGGGGTTTGAAGAGGTTTGATTCCGACATCTTGTGATAATGGGATGTATAATTCTGAAATTGTATGCTTGTATGCAGGTTTTGAGAGGGCAAGTTTGAACAGACAAGGCACGAAAGGGAAATGGCACTTACCTTTATATTCTGGGAGGAGTGGATTGACTGGGCATACTTAGGTGGATTAGCATTCTAGATGTTGCAATGCATGTGTCTTGGTTTGTAACATCACCCCACCAGTTGATAATCAAAAGGTATACGGATTACGGATTGATACAGTAATCTTACATTGAGTCTTGATTTAGCCTCGGAGCCGGCTTAGGAGGTTGCGCTGTTCAGCATCACGATTTCCAACAACACACATCACACCCACAAGAAAATGACGATCTTCTTTATTCCAATGCGCTGGTTTGGCAATCATAATCTCAGTCAGCTTCATGCATGAAAGTAAATCGACGATAGTAATCAGGTTGCATTATGGGGAGGGACTTGAATGGGAGCAAGAGACATCCGACTCCGACTCCGAGTCGGTTGGTGAGAGGAGCCACGCCTATGGATTGCGCCATTCACACGGCTAGATGTTTAAGAGTTGATGCAATGTTTCAACTAGGATAAGGTCAGCTGATGAGTCGTTTAAAAAACCAAAAGACTTCTTTTCTACACAAGTAAGAATAAGTAATGTATACCTATTCAATGATCAGAGCTAGAGTGTATGTTGTGCGTGTAGTGCAAGTTAGATGTCAACGGTACGAAGTAACGATGTCGTTACCTTACCTAATGGTGAAACGCTTCGGCAAATGATTTTACTAACGATACAAGTACCGTTCAGGGGGGTAGTCCAATGATTAGCGATTCTCTATTAGGACTTTTGGTATTTTTATATGTCTAGTCTATCTATACGAGTAGGATTCAAGAATATCCGTGAAACGGAAACTATGCCGTGACTTTCAGGAGGCGCAGTATGAAGATCGCTCTATGATAGATATATTCTTGTTAGCGAACACTGCCCGTGGAGCGCGAGGCTACGTCAATTACGAACTTCGCGTCTCAGCCCAAAGCAGATCGTCCATTTGACCAGATTCTTACCTTCCCTTATATCACTCACCCACCACACTCCTTTGGCGTCTTTACATTCATCTATTTTCCTATCCTATCCTATCTTTATGCGACTACATATCTACCTTACCCTTGAACAGTCGCAACGCTCATTCGCGCAATATCATCACGTGTCATGATCAGTGCTCCTTGTCCCCCTTGACATGGCCGAGCGTCCTCTAACAGAACAATGCTCTTCCGTCTTCGCTCCCTAAGACATTCCCTCCGCCCCCGGCTGGTTCTGCTTGCCCTCATCACTCTCACATTCCTGGACTTCCTGCTAAACACAAGCACGGCCCCGGGCCCCAAGCGGACATCAGAACTCTCCGCACCCCTAGCCAGAGAAAAGATATTCATCGTCTCCATCCAGCGGAACTCGGAATATATGCTCCGCCTATACTGGAACGCCGCTCTGCTCTCCCTCGTCTCGTTCCTGGGGCCTAAGAACGTCTTTGTGTCCATTCTGGAGTCGGGCAGTCTGGATGATACGAAGGGCGCTTTGAGGTATCTGGAAGAGGCTCTTAATGGCCTTGGGGTGGAAAATAGGATTGTGCTGGGGGAAACTATGCATGAGCAGATGGAGGGAACGAAGCACGTCCCGTTTGATAGAGAAGGGTGGATATACACCGGGCGAGAGGGTTTTGGGGACGGGGGGTGGGAGAAGAGACGAATTCCGCATCTAGCCAAGTTGAGGAACCAGGCTATGGAGCCTCTTTTCCAGGTCGAGACGAGATTTGATAAGGTGCTTTGGGTTAATGATGTTGTGTTTACGGTAAGTCACGTGGCGCTGCTTGGAACAGGGTGATGATGTGTGCTGGTGCTGGTGCTGGTGCTGACTGCAAGTAGAATGAAGATGTTGCGAGCTTGCTTTCAACAAGGGAGGGGGATTACGCTGCTGTTTGTGCGATGGATTTCTCGGGTAATGCTGATGCATAGTAAGTCCTTATAACCTCTAATTGATTACCACAACATTACTGACAACTTAGTTACGATACATTTGCGTTGCGGGATTCATCTGGTCTCAAAACAGGCTCAATCTACTACCCATACTTCCTCTCACGCCCCTCTCTGCAATCCCTCCTCTCACTCCAACCCGTCCCCCTGCAATCCTGCTGGAACGGACTCGTCTCCTTCGCCGCCGCTTCCTTCTACACGTACCCTCAATTAAAGTTCCGCGGCATCTCAGACTCTCTTGCAAACGAGCACTTGGAAGGTTCCGAATGCTGCCTCATTCATTCTGATAACCACAAGCTGCGCGACCAGAAAGGCGTGTGGATGAACCCTAATGTGCGCGTTACGTACAACGCATCGACGTACGTGAGGGTCAACCCGCAGGGACCGCTGCCGGAGAGTATCAGCGGGGACGAGAATATGAAGGGCGTGATTGAGGAGGTAAAGGGGGGTGCGTGGCCGAGGAAGTGGGAGCGCTGGACGGGGATGTGGGAAAATAGACGGGCGAGGTGGTTTGGGTTCGGCCGGGCTAGGTATTGGAGCGAGAACCAGGTGATCAAGATGAGGGTGAAGAAGTGGACGAGTCAGGGCAGAGAGAAAGGAGAGGAGGGGGAGGAGAATGGGCTGGAGTGTTTGGTTAATGAGATGCAGATTATGTTAGAACTTGGGTGGCAGCATGTCTGAAGCATTTCGCTTGCACAAGTATACCAAGGCTGGAACGTCATGTCAGAGAATTTAAACTATCTAAATATAGTAACGGCTAGATATCCATGCTTTAGATGGAGTAAAGGAGTCAAGGATAGCATCTCCGTGGCGTATAAATATTAATAGAAGAATAAATATTTAGAGAATCTAGTCCTTCATCTACATACTTATATACAGTACATGAATTTAACTAGCTGAAGTAGTTAATAAGCTGCCTCCTTCATCACCGCTGCGCATACCTCCTCAAAAATGCGTGCCGAAGTGATAGGAATTATAAGCTGAAGTCACAGCATCGAAGGCTTGCGAAAACATCCCATCCTGGACTGGGCCTCATCGTCATTTGACAGCCGATCTATCTCATGACACGGATACAACGACACGAAGTACACCATGCACCCGGTCCCCATCCAGCATATCCCATCCCATCCCATCACACAAAGCCGCAGACTCACTTACCCCATTCGCTCACACCGCCAAGCAGGAAATAGCATTAGCAGATATCGATATCGACATTAACCTCCATCCATCCATCCAACTCATTCTCAATATCATTCTCATTCTCGCTCCCATTCTAGAAGCAGCCCGGCTTCCAGCATCCGGGTAACAGGGTCTCCCCACCCGTTCCTCCCAGCACTAAACGGACCAACAGTGCAGCATCTGGTGTTCACTCAATAGCTCCGTGCTACAATGCTATGTCTATCTATCTACCTATCTGCATGCAGCGAGCCGTTCTTCGGGACTGTACTGTACCCCAGTAGATGGAGAAATCCGTGAATTTCCCATGCGTGGCCCAGCAGTGGTGAGAGTTAGAGTTTCTGTTTACGCACCCTAGATAGCGCGTGAGTACCTCTACTTGCTGACAAGCTCTTCGTTTCATTCCTGTTCCTGGGTCTTGTCTCGTCCCCAAGCTGTGGATTTATAGGAGAAGAGTTGGCTCCTGGCTGTGGATTTGGATTTGGATTGGGTTGGGTCAGGTCACCTGGATATGCAATGCGTGGAAACGTACATGATCTTGTGTCGCGCACGCACGCACGCACCCACCTACGGAGGCACAACACGCACCCGTGCCTGGATGGACCGTACCGTGTGGCAACCTTGCCAATAGACCGGTGGTGTACGGAGTAATGTTGTATCCATATCCAAGGTACCTTACAAGTAGCTATGTAGCGCAGCGCAGCGCAGAGCATCGCAGCCAACAGAACAGACGAGGGTGTGCCCTAAGGTAGGGTCGGAACCAAGTGCCGGCCCGTTTGCATTGGCTTGCTGATCGCTCGGTGTTGCTGTGCGGTGCGGTACTGTGTCTATAATGAGGTACTGTAGCCACGTCGAATCATGTCGAGCGGGGATGGGAGTATTTGTTAATGCTTGGGAAAAGATTGGACGGATGGATTGCAGCGATGAGTCGTGGTACTCGAGCAGGAATCGAGTCAATTGGACCAGCGAACTTTGAACTAACCAGTGCCATACTTTTCAACACGTGTAGATCTCTTCACCGTACTGTCGGATGTAGCAAATAGGCTGCTCGGATAAGAGTTGTATAAGTTTAATATCCACCAGGACGTCAACTTCCATTAGCCTAATCTTGACTTCGACAAGTACAGTAAGGAATTACTAGGGGTAATTGTATATCGCGAGCAAAAGAGCCGGGTTTATAGGTATTTGGAATATGCAGGTAGAGATGACATGCATAAATGCGGAGTTTTCAAATCCTGGTAAATGTATGGCCAAAGCGTGCTCATGTGTTTGATAATGTCATCTCTACTATGAAACGCCTTACTTAGCTGAGCCTAAAGGGTTAAACCTCCTGTTGGCCAGTTGCGCTTTGGCGACATGTGCCCCTGATAAGCAGCACCAGCAGCGTTCTGCATCGGACGTTGACTTGGACCTGTGGCATAACGAGTACCGGTAGGCACCGGTAGGCACTTCATGGCGAACGCGCGCGTACTCTGCGTTCAGCAGATGAAAGAAAGGCCTGAGCTCTGCTACTACAGGTCGGACCGAATTTCTGGAACTGGATTGTCTGAACCAAGTTGTGGTCATTTATCGGACATGCTGTGCTCTGTACTCAGCAGCAAGCAGGTATCCAGCAGATTCTATCTTGCATGGAGAACTCCTGTACACCCAAACAATTCCGGGGTATATACGGAGTACTTGATAACAACTTTGATACCCAAGGACATTTCGATACGGGGTTTCTCTGGTTGCTACTGTTTTGCAGACAAAGCGGGGTAATAGGGAGTCGCAACTATTGTTTAAAAAGCAAAAACGACTAGTTCTATACTATGGCTGCTTTAGAAAAGGAGAAAGATAGGGTGACATTGTAGTGGCGCAACCAGAAGACCAGCCGTTGCACAGATTATGTATCATGGCGGAATGGCTTTGCGCCACGAGCCTGACAAAGGAATACCAGAAGCAGGGCCATGAATACTACACTGAAGGAAGGTATTCTGACAAGAGCAAGCCCTCTTTCGGGAATAGGCTCAGCGCTCGGAATAAGATATGCATTTGTATGTCACCGATGCATATCACGCCTTGATTATACTGTATATCGGATGCTCCGTAATCCACACCCAAGCATTTAACCACCCACTCAGGAAGATGCATCAACAGCATCACCTGCAGAGATCAGGGTATGCGGGTGCCGGATAGTCGGTATCCAATAGACGCTCGCAAGATCCCTCAAGGATCAATCTCTTGACCAATGTTGTGAGTTGATTCTCAAACGGATATCACTGGCTAAAGATGCGATGCGATGGCTGAGCATCAGCAGCCTCACGCAGGGGCAGTACAAAGGTACCGTACTGTAAGGGGCCCGGGGGTCCCGCGTTTGATATCCCGATTCACAGGTCTGAGATGCCCGAACGAGAGGAAGCCGGGGGCTCGGACACCCCCGGGAGCTTCTAGAAGGGGAGGAAAGTTCGTGTTGCATCGGATGTTTCCCCGTTCTAGTATCTCTCATAGACAGCGCAGCCGTCAAGTACTTCTAAGTTGAATGCTTCAATATCCATTTGAACGTGCCTGAGGGGTGCGGTCAGACTGTGCAAGCACGTCCTCATGCCCGCTACAGTAGGTGTAGATCCCGAGTTTACCACGTTCAAGCCCCGTGGTCAATCGCGTGAAAAAGGAAGAGTGTGATGGGGGAAAGAGCCTTTAGGACGAGATATACCCCTGTCGCTTTTCCCATCACCGGGTTTAAGAGATCACAGTGGTAGACTGCGGAACTGCAAAATTGAAACCAAAAATCATGCCACAAGGAAGATCTCCAAAGAGAGAAAATGCGTCTAATATCAAGGCGCTTGCGGTACTGAAAGACACGAGAATCAAGCGCGAGGAAATGGCACGCGAGTGTACTAGACTAGGTCCAGAGTAGTAGTCACAATTGTCTCGTCGTTATTTCGGTGATTTGCAGTGCAAGTGCCAGTTCCACCAAACAAAGAACTTGAGCCTGGACCGGGGGCTCTCGGGAGTTTATCGATATTAATCCTCCTTCCCTTCAAGGCCTGGCTAGCCATGCGACATGCAACATTGGCGTTTTTCAATCAATGTGATACTCTAGTCTGAATACCTTACTACGGGCGGAGTATTTACCCTAATACTGTAAATGACGAACAAGGAACTGGGGAAGCTTGATAGCCGGGATTAAAAGGGGCTTTAACCCGTATTACCAAATGGCCCCCAATTCCCATACTATACTCTAGTACAGTAGTAGTCTTGGAAACATGCCATCGACCCACAAATAACAGATGCTTGAGTAACTCGAGGTAAGCTTAATGTGCCCACATTTGATAATCCACGCTGCATGAAACACGGGCTTCTACTCCCAGAAACGCCAAAGAAACATTACGAGGAACTTCTTAGACAAGCACGAGCTTCATCTAGGAATCCGATACCTCGCTGGAAGACCTCTGGACTCAATTGGGCATGTAGGACGGGAAAGTCTGGTGAAGCACCTGTCATGTCAAGACTCAAGATATTCAACACCGCTTTGAATACAATGAATCTTCAGGAAAAGCCTTGCTGAAGTTGCAAGCACCACACAAAACTGCCGTATGGGGTAATGATATTAATGTCTGTCCTCTTTGCTCTGCCGTGCATGGTTCCTTAAGCACAAATCTCATTGACAGCGTATCACAAATATGCTTCAAGTGTTTCACTTCCTCAAGCTGTAAGTCGATACTCATCTTTTACTCCATACTTTCCATCATATCAGGAGACCATTTAGTTACCGCAGATCTTTTCTATCTGAGGTGCTTTAGCAGCTTTCCTTAGGAACGCCTAGGCTTGGTTACACGGTCATATCAGGCTTTCGAACGCCTGTTACTCATATTCATATGCACCGAGAAACTGAGATGTACCGAGTCAGAAGATAAGAAGCAGGTCCTCAGGCCAGGAACGAATCTGATAGAGCCTCCTGCAACGGCTTCATGCCGGTGGTGGCAGCTGGAACTTGCCGGCGCGAAATGCCACATTTGCGTGCTATAAGTTGGCAAGACATGCAGAGGACTCGAGTTACTCGAGATATGAGACTTCTGCGCATGCTCCACAGTAAGGACATTAGACGGCCACGACGGCTACTTGAGTCGAGGTACAATATTCTGTATGTACATTACAGTGTGCATGCCGGTAGACGCGCAGACTTCCCGAGTTGCACGACACCTACTCCGTACCAAGTGATCTTGGAAAGATCGTGGGAATACTTCGTACAGCTATCCTAACGCTAGAATATCGACTACTTCCTGCAAAGCGGGAAGGGGGGAGATCTATTACGTGCTGCATTGCATACAAGGCCGTACTTGTAGATACGTTTGTATATTATTTCCACAGCACGCTCTTCTCTTTTTCCGTTTCAGGAGCCAGACTAGTAGGAGAAGGGCCTACTTGCATGAGACCTCCAGTACTTCGTAGAACGCGGGGGAAGCAGTAGACTAAAGTGCGGTACTCGATAGCAAGTACGAGTAAGAAGGTTCAAACAAAGGTACAGTAGCATGTAGTTAGTACATGTACTAACTAGCATCTCGAGCTTGTCTTGTTGTCTAACTCGTGGCAATGAGACGGGTCGAAGATCGATGGATTAGTTGCCGGATCCAGCCCCAGGTGCCGTTGGACATGCACACACACACGCACGTACCGATAGTTCTCTACGAGCCTGCGGATCCTCATGGGCATGGGCATGGGCATCGGACATGGCCATTGAGATACGGAGGGTATACTGAGGGAGGAGTTTGAAGCAATCTATGATGGATCTCTCTACGTACTGACTGTATGGCTGTACTGTAACTGTGTCCCCCTCGGACATCTCTTTTCGGAGATCTGAGCGTGAAGGAAGGAAGAAGCAGGGCCTCTAGCCCGCTGGGGGTTAGGGTCGATGTAAGTCAGATGGTGTGGACAAACCCCATCCCCATCAACTCAAGTGCTCCACTCACTGGTGGCCGGGGATCCCTACAGGACTGTATAAGCACTTGCAGTTCTGAGGTTTACGGAGATAAATTACTGTACGGAGTAGGGATATTACTGCTACTGTACTGTACCTTTGAGCCTTCGTACCCTCGTACCCTACCCGCGCACGCATCCTCGACGCTAAGTACTTACGGTACTACTGTATGTCCCTGATTCCTGGTCCCTGTCTGTTCCCTTGTTCCCTTGTGTGACGCCCCGTTGGAGTCGTGCACAGCATCCTGGAACCCATCAACCATCAACCATGAATCTGCTCACTCGCTCGCACTCGCACCCACACCCACAGTCCACAGAAAGGCATATCCACATCTATATATCCACATGCATCCACTTCCACTTCCACACATGCTGCAGGCATTATTATTTACCACTATTCCACCCCCTTGCCCTCTCTGGGACTCGCCTCTCTCCGTATTGCCTGTCTCCCGCAACCTTGTCCTGACTACTTTTACCCTACAGAGTACTTTGTCTGGCTGGCTGCCTCTGTGCTCCCTCCCTCATCCACACCCCATCCGTCCTCGGTCTCTCTTTCTATCTTCCTAGGGCCTCCTAACTACCTCCACCTCCCCAGTCAGCTCACGCTACCGTCCCTACTTTAGTACCTTCCGGCCCTCTCAGCGCACTGCATCCAGACAGACCACGGTACACATCCACATAACATCCATTTCTCCCTTCTTGTATTCAGCACCCACGCTGCTTATGTCTGACTCGAACGACGCCTTGCAACACCCATAATTTCTAGAAGCTTTATATATTCCACACTCGCTCTTCTCGCTGCAATTCCGTGTAGACCATCACCCACTCACGCCTAACGCCTATCCGCCCCCTGGTCCTTTTTTAGCACCACAAACTTCAATCATCAATCACCTCGCTCGAGGCATCATCGACGAGTCCTCCCCACCAACAATTCTCCGAGGCCCTTCGAGATACGCCGCGACCAAGTCTCTCGTTCATGCAGATATATTCTTAAACTTCAATTGTCCATTTTCTTACCCAATCATCCCGCTGTGCGACGGTCTCTTGATTCTCGCTCTGGATACCGTTCCTTCGACGGCCTTTCCGAAATCCTGCGCTGAGCGTCAACCTCACCGAAATTGGCACTGACAATGGATCATACTGCACCCGGTCATCAGTTGCAACAGCATCCCAAGCCTCCTACGACTATCTCTTCGATGTTGAATGAGCCGACTGTGGTTAGGGAAGCAAGTAGCGCAGACTCGGCATACGCATCGCAAAATAATTCCAAACGTAAGATATTTTGGCATTCCCCTTGCAACTTTCTACCTTGAGATGTTCACTCACTAATAGTTCAGTAGATTCAAGCCTCTCGAACACAACCTCTCATTGCGACAAGACCCCATCCCCCGTAGTCCACCACATGTCGACCCACCCTCTGAACTCGCCAGTAGGCGCGATGAGCGTTGCTTCGATTGTGTCGCCAACCGTGCCAGAAGGCCATGATCAGAACCCAAACAATCGATTGAGCGTACAGACCATCGACTCGGCTTTACACAACGGCAGCATCTCGATTAATGGAGATTCCCGCCGTGAATCCGTCGACAGTCGTCTGGGGGCAAATTTTGGCGATATGCGCCTTGGTGCATCCCCTTATACTTCCAATAATCAGAGCACGACGTCTCTGCAGAGCTCATTGGCTCAGCAAAGAAACCCGGGCGCAACAGAAAGACCGGTACCAGGCTTTCGGTACTCGGATGGGTTCTCTCCTCGGTCTTCGCGTTTCTCAGAGAGAAGTGACCCACTGTCGCCAGCCAAGGGAATTCTGACTTCAAAAACCGCACCTCCGATCCATGGGCCCACGGCTAGAGAAATCGCTGAAGCACCAAACGCAATTCCTGGTCAAGCATGGGCATTGGATTACAATACTGGCCCCGAGGAAAACCCAGAACCAAGCAGACAGGGAACATCGTTTTTCCACGACGATTCCCGACGTAACTCTTTTGCTGATTCTATCGCGAGCAGTGCGTACACGACGGAGTCACGCTTACCACAGGGGCAGAGACGTTTTGACGAGCAGGGAGAGGCCTTGAACAGACTTTCTCGGGCGTCTTCAGAACTCCATGTCTCTACTCACCACCACAGTCTGCAACACAGACATGTTTCTGAACTATCAGGGGATGCTGGTACATCACCAGGCGGTAGCCAGCCATACTCCCGTACCCCAGAGCTAAGGGTTTCCCATAAGCTTGCTGAGCGTAAACGTCGGACCGAAATGAAAGATCTTTTTGATCAACTCCGAGACCTTATGCCACAAGAGCGAGGCTCAAAAGCCTCTAAATGGGAGATCTTGACTAAGGGTAAGCAATACGATGTAGCACTTAAGGCGAGCCTATACTGATTGACTCTAGCTATATCGGAGTATGGCCGCGCCATGAACGACATCACACGCCTCTCTTCGCGAGTGCGGTCGTTGGAGGCCGAACTTGAGACCTCGCGCCGCGAGTCTGCAGCCTTGCGATTAGAGAACAGTCAGCTACGCCAAGAGCTCGCTGCCTTCGCTGGTCCTCATCGGCCTACACACTCGTCACACTCTGCCCAACCTCCCATGTCCTCCGAGTACCCATCTATGAGGTCAAATGTTTATGGTTCAAACCCAATGGATCAAAACCCTCGCCATGAGAACTACGTGATCAGATCGGCGGAACAACTACCACCGATTCGAAACGCTATCAACGGCCATCCGCAAGGCCCGGAAGCAATGAGCGGAGTTCAATACCAAACGGGCTTCCGTGCTGGTCCCGAGCATTTCTAAGAACAGGATATTCCTTGATTTGCTTGAGCAGTCTCTATTTCTGGATTCGAACTGGTTCTGATATATCTGTCAGTGACGATCATATCACTTTTTCAACACGGGCCGAAACGCATGCTTGGATCGACAATTCACGATGCTCACTCTCGGCTTCCCGTATTATATTCTTCTGACAGCAACGACACCAGCGGCTCTCAATGTCATTTTCGAGGATATACCTCGGTGAATTCATTCACTACGCTTGCAAGCAAACTTTCTTTTGTATAACTAAGATCCACTTCATTAGATCACAAGCCGGGTGGCTTAAAGTGTGTTACTAGGGCCTGTTACTTTCTTTCCTTTGTTTTATTGTATCAACTCCATGGTTGGCGGAATCGTTCATGCAATAATACCCTTCATGGAACTGGTGGCCGTCACATCCATTTCCTTTGGAAAACTATAAAAACCATAAGGCGTTTTTGGGGGAGGAGAATTTTGCATTTAATTGGGGATGTCGTCTACGATACAGGGCGTTGATGGAATATTTGCCTCTTAGAGGTCGTTACAAAAGCTTGAAAGGGGTTGGTTTACTTGGCGTTTGATATACCCGCACCGGCCTTACCTGGCTTCTCATGCCCCTCGCTGCAGCTTCCAGTGTTGTATTGGAGGTTTGGCTCGAGGATGGTGGGAATTGTGCACAAACATATATTACAATTGGGTTCTGGCATGCCGTGCGGCTCAGATAGTCAAACTAGAAATAAGGAATGGTTAAGAGACCTTTAATCAATATAAAGGCTTTTACAATCTGCAAGATATCAATCATTGCTCCTCAAAACTCCGTGAATTAATTAGAATGCTTCAAGACTTTTAAACCAAGATCTTTAAAGTATTAAGGTAGGCAAAAAGCAGAGCTTCATCACCAAACATGAGAGAAATGTTAAAGTTGACTTTGGAAAGCTTTGGCTTCATCCGAACTGACAAGTACACATATCAAATTCAAATTTGTAGAAAATCATCAAGTCACCATGTCTTTTGTGTGAGTGAGTAAAAAAGCTTTGACCACAGAGGTTGTCGTCAAACTCAGGAGAACAGATCACAAGGATATGATGTCTAAAACAGACTAGCGTTGGTATTAGCGTCGCGCTACTTGCTTCAAGCAAAAAAGTCATGTAGAAATTATTTGGAGAAATCATCACCCTCTACACAAGACATCAAGAAGACTATCCTCATCCAGTCCTCTACATATACAATCCGCAATCATGTAAGCTCAACGATACGCCCCATTCATCAGCGTATGGGTTTTACAGAACTGACAATTACTCAAGGCATCTCATCCGCCGTACCGCTTTCCGCGCTGCTTCCTCGCCATCCACCTCCTGGATCGCTCAATCGCGATCCATCAACACATGCTCTCCCTTCCTCCTCAGATCAAAAGTACAAGCTACCGGTATCTCCCCATCGGTATTCAGACGCTTTGCAAGCGATGATGCTAGCTCTCCTTCATCCGCCGATGGCGAATCCTCTTCCGTCAGCTCAGCCGTAGGCTCTGCTACTGAGACTGCTACTACGTATGCGAGTGAGGCTGCCGAAAGCGTGAAGGAGGGTGTCCAAGAGGCTAAGGACACCTTTGCCGATACTGCAGCTGGCACTGCCGCCGCTGCAGGCCTCGCCTACCAACCAAGAGAAGACAGGAGAGAATCGAGACCGCGTGATGGTGGCTCTCGTGGTGGCTATGGTGGCGACCGCAATGGAGGTGGTCGATCATTTGACAGAGGAGACAGAGGAAGTGGAAGATCCTTCGACAGAGGATCTGATCGTCGCGGACCTCCTCGTGAGGCAATGGAATTGACTCCTACAACCACCGTCTACATTGGAAACCTGCTTTTCGATATTACCGCCAATGACCTGGAGCGAGAATTCGGTCAATTTGGAGAGATCAAGTCTTCAATCATTGCAACTGATCCCAGAGGCATGAGCAAAGGGTAAGATTCTACGCGTAGTTCACTCTTGACATAGTAGCTAACGTTCATTAAGATTCGGATATGTCGAATTCGAATCCCTTGAGGAGTCCGCCGCTGCCATTGCAGGCAAGCACCAAGAAGTTTTCGAAGGCCGCCGTCTTGTCGTCAACTACCAGAACAAGACCCGTCGTGAGCACATTGCAAACCCACCATCCAAGACTCTCTTCATCGGCAACCTTGCCTTTGAGATGTCGGATGCTGATCTCAACAAGCTCTTCCGTGATATCAAAAACGTCATTGATGTCCGCGTTGCCATTGACAGACGCACTGGTCAGCCAAGAGGATTCGCCCACGCCGACTTTGTTGATATTGAGAGCGCCTCCAAGGGATTGGAGGCTCTCAAGGATCAAGAGATCTACGGCCGCAAATTGAGAGTTGACTTCAGCCTGGGCAACAGAGAGAGAGCTACCGATGGTGGCCGCGCCCAGTCGAGCTTCTAATCGATCGTTAAGATGTAATGGAGGGGAATGTCCGATATCGATGGTGTACAACGTTTGGTATAGGACGCACTGTGCAATGTATATGATGGTGGAGTGTAACAAAAAGTTGGCGGGAGATTTTATGGAGCTCAATTTTATGGGAACTCGACTTTTCTGTATCTTGTCTTAAAGCTCATTGCATTTTTATCGTTGTAAAATAGGGGTTTTGGGCAGGCGTAGAGAGATCGAGATCGACGAACAGAACTTCAACTCCACTCACGATTGTCATGGGAGAAATTTTTCTTATGTCAATAGCAGTAAATTAATGAATACACTCCTGCAAATATCCTATTCTCTATGTATGCTAGTCCGTGATGAATAATAAATGGTGATTGTAGTTGTAGCTGAACGGCATGTGATTTGGGCAAGGCTGCCAAAGCCCAAGCCGTTCATTCACCTCGGCTGCAACTGTTGGCTGCGATTAAAATGATATGAAAGACTTCCCCACACTCTTGACCTCCACATTATTCATGGTCTCTACAGAAATCACAACTTCTACGACACACTTTTCCTGTACATTATATTACGGAATTACGACTCTCGCATATAGACTTATGAAATTCTTTAACCTCCGCAACCAAGAAAACTAGTAACAAGAGTGGCGACAGCGATTGATTACACATCCGAACTTCCCCCGCATCACATTTGGGTATCAGCAAAATATGTCTTTTATGGGCGGTGCCGAGTGCTCGACGGCCGGGAATCCTCTCAGCCAGTTTACGAAACATGTACAAGATGACAAGAGTCTGCAGAGGGATAGGCTGGTGGGGAGAGGGCCAGGTCCAAACATGCAGGGCATGCGGAGTACTGGGGGTATGAATGGGAGTCAGGACAATGTGAGTTTCCACAGACCTCTTGGGGCGAACAACATATCGTGTGCGGAAGGGCGTTGAATGATACATTGCTAATATCGCACTGATAGATGATGAACGATTTCATGCAGCAAAACGGCCAGCTTCCTGAAGCTTTTATGGAGCAGCATAACTTACACCAGAACCCGCATATGCGTACTGGCTCAACCTCACCTGGAGTTGGGGGATGGGCACAAGAGTTCAACCCTTCAGTAGAACAACGGGCGCGGATGGAGGCTTCGTTTCAAGCTCCTAAAGGTACTGCGTTTAGTCCCGCCGACTTTCAGAGATTCCAGCAAATGGGCCAAGTCCCGGCACGAACGGCAAGCCCTATGGCCCAGAGCAATGGGTATTCGAGCTACCAAGGAGGACCACAAATGGGTATGAGAATGGGTGGTATGGGCATGGGTATGGGCGGAATGGGAATGGGGATGATGAATGGGCCATCATACACACCACAACAAAACTTACAGCAAGAAGGGAAAGGCAAAGGAAAAATGGTAGAGCTCGATGACGAGCACTGGGAAGAACAGTTCAAGCAGATTGATATCCAGGGACGGGAAGAGGAAGAAGCTCTAGCCGCGGAGGCAGAGCTTGATCAAATGGACAGGTCAGTCCTTGAATCCGAAACCAATGACTTTGGTGATTTCGAATCTATTTGGAGAGGCATACAAGCTGAGACTGCCGCTGCTAGGGAGATGGTTAACACAGATAACATGGAGAATGAAATGGGCGTCCATATGGGCGACCTAGAGCAATGGGATGGTTTTGAATCTCTAGGAACACATCAATCGCCATTCCGAGACCCGCAATTGGGAGAGTACATGTTTGAAGAGGATAACATTTTCAAGAATGCCACCAATCCTTTTGACGAAGGTGTACGGATAATTCACGAGGGAGGAAATCTCTCTTTGGCAGCATTAGCATTCGAAGCGGCAGTTCAAAAAGATGCGCAACATATCGAAGCCTGGGTACTCCTTGGTTCAGCACAAGCACAGAACGAGAAAGAAACCCCAGCAATCCGAGCTCTAGAACAGACATTGAAATTAGACCCCAACAACCTCACAGCTCTCATGGGCCTAGCAGTAAGCTACACAAATGAAGGCTACGACAGCACCGCATACCGGACCCTAGAACGCTGGCTATCAATCAAATACCCCACTATCGTCTCCCCCTCCAACCTCTCCTCAGAAGCAGACGTCGGCTTCACAGACCGCCACCTCCTCCACCAAAAAGTAACCGACCTCTTCATCGGCGCCGCCCAGCTTTCCCCCGACGGCGAGCACATGGACCCCGACGTGCAAGTCGGGCTCGGCGTGCTCTTCTACGGCGCCGAAGAATACGACAAGGCAGTCGACTGTTTCTCCGCCGCGCTCGCCAGCACCGAGTCCGGAACCAGCAACCAGCGCGACCAGATCCACCTCCTGTGGAACCGACTGGGCGCGACCCTCGCCAACAGCGGCCGCAGCGAGGAAGCCATCGCCGCGTACGAAAAGGCGCTCACGCTGCGCACCAACTTTGTGCGCGCGCGCTACAACCTCGGCGTCTCGTGCATCAACATCGGGTGTTTCGACGAAGCTGCTTCGCACCTGCTAGGCGCGCTGGCTATGCACAAGGTGGTGGAGAGCGAGGGCAAGGAGAAGGCGCGGGAGTTCCTGGACGCGGGCGCTCTGAGCGACGCGGAGCTGGATCGCATCATTAGCCAGAACCAGAGTACCAACTTGTACGATACGCTCAGGAGGGTCTTTAGCCAGATGGGCAGGAGGGATTTGGCGGAGCGCGTTACGGTTGGCATGGATGTCGAGAGCTTCAGGGCGGATTTCGACTTTTGATCTGAGAGAGAGAGCCAAGGTAGAATTCATGTAGATAGGAAATATGGTATCTTACAAAATACGGTCATTAGGTCCAGATCTATAGTGTTTGTGATTTGTGTTCTAAACATAGCCTTGGTAGGCTTTCTAGGGAAGAAATAAATTCTTTTCATGTGTATGAAGCACACAAAAGGCACGTTTACTTGTAGTTAATTTTCATGAATGGGTATCTATCGTATGGCTGCTATATCTGAGAATTCTACTCCAGGCTAGGCTATTTGACCACAAGAATATGGCTCGCAGCGACACCCAAGTAATCTTTTCATATCGTCGTCGTCGTGGAACAAACACATCCATACGTATCCATCCACTCACTTGACGCCAATAAACGCCAATCCATCCCTCGCCGCCCTCGCCGCTCTCTTCAAAGCCTGCTCCTCGGTATCCGTCCACTTCACACTCAACTCATCCCATTTCCTGATCTTGTACTCCTTTTTGAACTGCGTCTGCATGGCTTGCAGTCTGCTCATTTCGCGGGGGTCGCCGGAGCCGCTGTAGATGATGAGTGCGGTGCATGGGGGTAGTGCTTGGTAGATTTGGTGGAGACGGTTAGTGAGGGCCGCTGCTGCGACATCGATGGGTGTGCTTTTGTCTGGGGGAGGGGGGGGGAGGGAAGAAGCGGCTGGAGGCTCGGAGGGGTTGATATCGGTAGGAGTGTCGGCCATGGCAGTACTTGTCTTCGGTCGATCAGTCAACGCAATACCTTCTGTCGAAACGTCCGTTGTGGGGGTATCATTCGTCGTGCTCTCAGGAGTCGTTTGCTTGTTCTTATTCCACCATCCTTTCAATGCCTCTAACTCTCTAAATCGCGCCCACACAAAATCAACACCGCCACCGGGGATTTCCTTTCCGTCGACATCACCCTTCACAGCTCGGATGACACCTTTCATGACCTCCTCATCGCTGTGGCATCCAATTGGAAACGATGAAGCTGCTCCGGGTCCTTTCTTTGGCTCGCCCCAGTCTATCATCGCGCTCGACTTGCCTGTGAGTGGACTTGGAATGGCTGAGCCACCTTGGTTCTTGTACCGTACGCCCATTCTAGCAATACGCTTAAACAAGTTCTCTCCGGCTGCATCGGCCATACCCCATTCCTTGCCTTTCTCACATTTCTGCTTCACCAGATCAAGACATGTCCTCGCATCTTCGATAGAGTCATGGCCAGCTCCCGGACCAGTTGTACCATGGCCTTTCTGAATTTCTCGATTCAGATAGCGTTGTGCAAGCCATTTTAGGGATGACTTCAGCGGTGGACCTCTGGGATGAGGGAATATAATAGATGTATCAATAATGAAGGGGTGAGTGATCTTGAGGGCGTTGAGGTCGGAATTCAGGGAGTGGCCGATGAGAACAGCCCGTGGGTGAAGAATGCTGAGAAGCTTTTTCTGAATATCCTGTAAAGTTGTCGTAATAGGGGCTATCATCTGTTCCGTGATGCCAGAATACCTGATGAAATGTTAATAATACCCTAAAGAGAGAGAGAAATAAATTACTGTGTTAGGTAGTTTATGATGGGCCTTTCTGGCTTGACAAGCTCATCCAGAATAACACTACCATCCCAGGTCACAATACTAATTCGTGTAAGTGAGAATTCATTCTCCCCTGTCATACACATCTCGCAGTCCATCGCAAGAACCTCTCGGCCAGCTGTTATACTACCAGTTTCGATTTCTTTATCCGGTGGTGTACCCTGATCAAGCGTTTTGACTGAAGAATCAACCCATCCATGCTCTTGCGAGACCCCAGCAGAACGCCGATTATCCATCAACCCATTCTTCTCAACTTCGTCGCTATACGAGGCAGGATGAAGGACGTATTCATTCTCAAGAAGCTCCTCGGGGGAATGGACAAATTCCGAGATTGGAGTACGATTATTCTTCCACCCATGGGGCTCTTTTACAGGCTTGGCTCCCTTCTTATTTTTGGACCATTGCTTATCTTCTTTCGTCTTGGGCAATGGTGCTGTGAGAATCGCGTGTAGTGGTGAGTGCATCTTGCTGAACTTATCGTCTCCTGGTGTCTTGACTGGCCAAAGGTGCTTGAACATATCTGCAAACGGCTTTAACGACTCAGGCAACTCTTCCTCAACAAGGTTAACTGGATAGTATTCATCGGGTGAGTTGTAGTTCTTATTGCGATGCTCTTCATTTCCCTTGCCATCTTTTCGCTTTATGGCAAACATCTCCTTCTCCAGGCCAGGGACCATAATAACAATTACCTTCCGAATCTCGGGTCTGTGGCGCACAGATACAAAAGAAGGTGAAGGTGCATCTGTGAGAATGTAGAGAATCAAATTCTGTAGGTCACTGATCTTGATCTGCGACTGGAGTCTCGAATCTTTGGAGAACTCGATGGCGGGGTAGTTTCCTGATTGCTGCTTGGGGATCTTTTTTGCTTTCTTGCGGCGGGGCTCTACTGTCTGCCAGTCTTGCGACATCTTTGATTCGACATTTTGAAGCTTGAGCGACGCTGAATCCTCGCTGGGGCGACTGGCAGATGTCAGATTGAACTCTGGCAGTTCGGGCTGGCCAAGGAATGATGGTATGGCATCCATACCAGTGTGTTCGGCGCTGTTTGCAGAGAGCTTGCGCTTCTTGTTGTTTGTTGGAGCCATGTCAGAGGGAGTTTGACTGCTGCTATCAGCAACATGCTGGTTGGGGGAAGACATCTGGTGTTGGTGTAAGGTGTAAGGTATGTGAGGCTGTGTGGAGGGAAGGAAGCTCTTGAAGATTTCTTGGGTTTTCAGCCGACGAGGCTAGCCAATTAGATTGCTTTCTACAAACACCAGTAAGCGAGAGACAAGGCTGACCTGAGCAATAACAACTTGGATCATTTGAATACTCCATTCAATTGAAAATGCACATTTGGGAATTCAAACCGGTGATAATAATTGTGGGATATTCTACTTTGTGTTGACTCCAAGATCTCCTCCGGAATTGAGGCTATAAATGTCTTCTTGACACGAGCCTGCCACGAAAAAACACGTCTCGGATTTTCAATATAACATATTGAAGATATAGCATCCCAGCTACAGGACTAACTAGGATAATCTCCGCCCTTCCTAGTCGCCCCAATCGAGCCTTCTTTCTCCATCTCAAGCCATCGACTAACTGCTCACTTTCATAACGCTGTTGTATCTGTGCTTGCCAGGTATCAATCAAAGCCGGCTATTTGATTCGCCACTCGTCCGTCAACATGGACGTAGTCATATGCTACTGTCTCCAATGCAAATCAGAACTAGGCCGCTTTCAAAATTCATGGATCAACATCGGGACTACCTTGTCCATACCATCGTACCCTATGCTCACTTATACTAGTGGCTGTGAGGGCGTCGGAGATTCGTTTGCAAGCCAGGCTGGGTCTCAAATGCAGAACTGGTATGTCATTAGTAATATTCCACAATCTGGATGTTACCAAGCTAACTCCGAAGCGATAGTACCTTGCAGAATGTGAATTGCAAGAAGTGCCAAACATTCGTTGGATATCGATGTGACAATGCTCCCGCGGGTCACTTGTTAGCTAAGTTCGATATCCTACAAGATTCGAGCATGTCAAGTACTGACTTTTAGTACAGAGACCAACTCATTCTAAATATGAAGAAGGCTGTATCTGCAATCTCAGAGGCCACCGGAGAGAAAGCAAGGCTCACTATCCTAGAGAGCTTGCCTTTGATCAACCCCAACGCCCAGAAGCCACCTGTACCAAAGCGCGCATCTACGGTGCAGCCTCTTGGCTACACAGCCTCAAGGATGGGATCTCGAATTAACGAAAATCACGCAAGCTCTGGCAGCATGCCCCCCCCCGTCAAATAGAGTTAAATCTACCCCAGACTTCTCAGAGTTCAAAGCATGGGCGCAAGGCGCTATCAGTACCCAGCAGACGGACATCAATCGTGTTTCTGAGACCTTGATCAACATCGAAGGGGAGATACACACGTTTAGAGCTTTTATGAAAGAGGTTCGAACGGAACTTGCAACAGGTCGAGAGTTTCATCAAAAGTTAATCCATGATCGAGATGGTTTGGTAAAAGTCTCGGGAAAGTTGGGACAATTACAAAACCAGTTGAACTCCATAAACCAAGAATTACGTGGCAAAAGTGGAGTGTCACTCAGCAGAGACATTGAAATCATCATATCCGATATACAGCAAGTTAGCGAGAAGGCTTATGAAGTAGACGAGCTTAAGATTGAAGTGGGCCAATTGAACACTCAGGTCAAGGATATAGAAGATGTGGCCCAGGTCAGACAGGTACCGAGTGAAGTCGAAAATCTAAAATTAGAGTTACAGATATTGAAAAGCCGGCTCGAATCCATCGAAGGGGCCGTGAATCAAGCCCCGTCACTACATTCAACCAGACAAGCCGCTAGGTCAGAGGAATTGCAAAGTGCCCAAGGCCATCCGCAAATCTCAAAGCGTCTTCCTCGTGTAGAAATTCACGTTAGGCCTCCAGAGCAACCAGCGAATTCAACTACCAACCTTAAACCACCAACTCCTGCGTCAGAGGATCTTGAGGGTAGGCCGCACAACTCATCTCTCAAAAGAAAGTATGGCGACATCGAGAAGTCTGCTCCCGCCGATCAAGAAATCGAAGCACCATCACTGCCAATAAAGCGTACAAAGGTATCACGAAAGTCAGTGCTTGAGAAATGTTCACAGAATATGGAACATGCATCCGGATCATCCCGTGTCCGTTTCAAATCGCCCCGCACGGAGGTAATTGAAATACTCTCATCAGAGCGTGGATCACCTCCAATACTGGGCGAAGCCATGGAAAACGGGGGCATCAACTCAACTAGAGACAACCCTCGGGTTGACAAACAACTGCCTTTGAAAGCCACGCCCGACGATGCATCAAATTCAGTTTCGAAGGCTCCTCCACATGGCAAGTCGAGGAAAGGGTCGGTTAGAAGGACAGCTTCTATGAACAACCTAGCAACGCCGTCGACGGTATCGGTACAATCTAGAGACTCTCAAGGCGCTCTCATAACCACATCTGGAAAGGTTGATAGACGATCACTACGGTACAGAACGTCTCATTCCAACAAAGAGAATACGACGCCTGTTCAGAGAGACCAGGATACGGATAGAGGAACTGTTCAACGGCATGTCTCAGAGAATCAAGCTTCAGAGCGAATTCAAAAGGCACACTCAGCGTCGGCGAGAGTCAAGCGTATCCGCTCCACTCCTAATCTTCGGTCGTCAGGCGTGACAAAGGATATGGCGGGCGGAGAGCCTTCAGCAGATGCTCCTTTACTATCTATAGAAAGGGACGGGCTGGACGACATCCAAGCCAGGCACACCGAAGTCCAAATGTCAAAGCCTGGCATTGCAACGGCTGAAAAATATTCGGAAGACCAAACAATTGAGCAAGCAAGCTCGACACCTACCGCCGTAAACTCCACGTCAATAAAGCCCTATAAATGTGGATTATGCGGCAAAGGATATACCACTCAGCCGTTGCTCAAGCAGGTAAGTACCCTTCCTCTATGTTATAAACCTGTCTGATATTTATATAGCATCAACGCTTCTCTTGTAGCAAAGCCGACACTGATGAGCGGATGAAAAATGCGAAATTGGCGGCGAGGGAGAAGCTTGTTAAGGACACGCTCGAGAGAGAGATGACTGCGGGTATGTGAGAAAGAGGATTTATGCGAAATGCATGGCACTAGTGTGAACAGGAGTGGTTATCAGTCAAGTATGTTTATGGTTGTAAGATCGTCAAAGTCCCAGTCCGGTCAATCAATCTCGAGTTCAGTTGACTTTTGCCTTCTTCTGTGGGGAAAGCTTGTCCATTTATGTTTTACCTTCGAGGTCTTCTGAAGAGCGTGAGTCACGTGCTCATGATGCAATGCTTTTTGGCCTCTTCATGTTTTAAATCCTGCTTGAAAACTCGCCTTTCCATCATTGTAACGATACACCGGATATAAGAATAAATCACTTCATGTGTTGCTTCTTTACCTACCTTAGGCAAGAAACGTGCTGGTAGACAGTTTTCGAGTAACCTAGTCTAGCGGGGTATCACGTCGTGTTGCGTACTCGTACTTCACAGAGTGGGCACCTGTCGATGTCCTTATGAATGAATCACTGTTTAGATACCTCTGACATACTAAGAAGAGGTGTGAAGAGAACCATCACTGCAAGCAGCTTGGGCCGCGTTTCTGAACATCCAGGTACTCCGGTTTCTTGCCTCATTTCTCGCCATGGACCAAGTGCCTGCGGAGGTGTAAGTTGAATGCAACAGAACTCTATCCCCTTTTGCTCATTCCTACGACTTTATTATTTCAACTATGCTGACTGTCACACTCAGCCTTGTCAATATTTGCGAATCACTCTCTCGAGCCGACCTCAAGAACCTCCGATTTGTCTCCCGGGGTCTGCAAGCAGCTTCGGAGCCAGCCCTTTTCCGTACGATCTATCTAAGCTATAACCTAATGAGCTTCGAGCGCTTCCAGGATATTGCGGAGCATCAACGCTTTCGGAGGCACGTCAGAACTATTGACTACGATGTAAGATCATTTGGAATCGTTAAATCTGGAGTACCTTTCGGAGAATGGGTCCAGAATTGGCCAGGGAGAGGCATGGGCCTCATTGACAGACCTACGTTTAAGCGTCAATTCACCGATCTACAACTTGAAAGTCATTATATGGCTTGGAATGTCTGGATCTTTGGCGAAGCATTTCTCCATAGGCGGGATAATGCGAAGAATATGTTGGCGACCACTCTCACCAAACTCCCGGGTCTCACTGGTATCCGGTGCGGTGCAATAAAAATGTACCATGACACTTACTGCCAGGCTCCATCCATTGAATCTATGAGCATGACTGCACAGCAAATCCTGTGCGAACCCCAGCATGAACATAAATTAAACGGAGCCCAATTTCATAGTTTGGACTTATTCAAAATGGCTCGCGATTCGGGATATGTCCCACATCTGAGCGAACTTTCCTTGTCATGCATCACTCTCAAATCATGGGACAATCAGGCCGCTTCCTTCATGAAGAAGTACGAGAATATGCCCGCACTGAAGACCCTATCACTCGAACTTTCTACTCACCAGAGCTCCGCAAAGCATACTTTCAACCTGGCCAAAATGATAACTCGTTGTCGTGCACTACAATCACTTCGGCTCTCTTTTACTACCGTCGAAATTCATCTCTCAAGCCTTATCAACAAGGTACAATACTGGGAACATCTAACAGAACTCTCGTTACACGCTATTGAAACAACTGAGGATCACCTCCGGCATATATTGTTGAGACATGCCAGCATGTTACGATCGTTCGAGCTATCGAACACAACTTTCACCTACTCTAGAGTCAAAAACCAACCTCGTGGATCATTTGTCGACTTCTTCCAATTTCTGAATCAGTCTATGACTCTAAAGTATGCGGAATTCGAGGGCTACTTGAGCAATAACCAGAACGAAGCATGGGTTGCTGCTAGTCAAAAAGGATCTATTTTCGAGCCGCAACCTGAGCTCTTTTCTGATTGCTTGAAATACCAAGTTGAGCGCTTTGTCACTCATAATGGACCCTTCCCATTCGTTCCAAGTGAGAATGCCGACCCAGTCTATGGAATATGGGACCAAAATGGAGACTCATCATGGAAATTCGCGCCTCATAAATTGATGTAAAGTAGGAATAAGCTCTACTCGGATGGCATCAATTGGCATATGAGATGATAACAATATTCTCCATAAAGTATCAATTAAACAATAATGAAGGACTAGAGAACCATCGCCATTATTATCGAACTACAGGTAGGAAAGCCAGGCTAGCACGAGCTTCACATAAAAGCATGGCCAAAGCTTCGTTTAGCCTTGAATCGGGGTTTGAGACTATAGGCTTTCTCTTTTTAGACCTCTTTCTATTTCTCTGTTAAAGGATGATATCCTATGGCCCTGAGTTCGGAATAAGACCTGGCCCTTTCAGTCAAGGATGGTAACACCCTAAGGCCTTGATTGGTGCTTAAGGGAGACTCTTTCCTATCGCGTCAGCTTCCTTTCATGTACACCTCATTCCGTGACTTCTCTCGGAGACCATAACTTTGGTGCAAGTGTTTGAGGGAGACTAAACGGGAGTTGATACGCACCAGTGATGTATTTACTTCCGAGTAGCAGCTGACAAATAGCAAAGCGTTCGTTTATTGAATTCCATGCGTGATTGTTCAAATGGTAATCAAAGGTGCGCCTATATTCCGAACAGACTGCGCGATTTCCTCCTCACTCTGTAGAAAGGGGGAAGCGGCACGTGCCACAAAGAGCTGCCGAAAAGGACTTATATTCTAGTCCATGATTTTAAATAGCTAGATAGTGTGATCTATTAGATACCAGAAGTCTCAATTTACTCTTATTCAAGAAATCAGTTTACTGTAGAAGTCAAGTGCTGGGTTTCAAAACCATTTTCCGTCTAAGCAACAATATCGCAATATCACAAAGTCGAACATTCTACCTTATTTGATCTCTTGCACTCTAGAATTACACCTTGGCTCTCGATTTACAGCTACCTACGAATTGGTGGCTGGGACTGTGGTGGAGGAAAAGCGTTGACATGTAGTGCAGGTAGGAATAAAGGTACATCAATATTCCATACCTCCAATGGAAGATTTCCGTGGCGTAGGAGGGCGGCTTGGCCTGCACCACAGACTTCCCCTTTCATTTCAAGTACCCCCGAAGAACAGATTGATCAGTCAACGCTTAAAGGTTTTGCTTCCCAATAACCTCAAACGCAAACCCAGCCAAAGTCTTCAGCCCAGTAAATATCTGCGACGCAATATTCCTCCCATCCACCGCAGTATTACCCTCACTTTGCCACTTTTGCAACGCCTTTCCTACACCACCCCTTAACCTCTGCACCTCCTCCACTTCCCTCAACTCCAGCTCAACCTGCCCTATAAACCTTGTTCCCTGGCCATGACTCAGCGGCGCTAACTCATTCACGAGGATGAGAATCGTGTGCGTTGCATCTATGAAATCAATCCCTGTGAGAATTTCTCTTGGGATAAAGGGCAGGGTTTGTTCCAGAGTAGCGGGCTCGAGGGATGAGGCGTATTTGAGGAGGCGGGCGATAGTGAAGAGACGGGTTACGCGGATGGGGTGGTTCGGTTGCGGCCAGTTGTAGATGTCGCAGTTTAGGAAGATGAATAGGAGGAGTATGAGGGCGGAGGTTAAATGCCCGTTGTCGATGTATGTCAGGTACAACTCGTCGAGGACAGTTGAGTAAGGTGGCAGGGCGAAGAGCTTGTGGTTTTTGTAGAGTGATAGGTCGGATATGGCTTGCTTGAGGAAGTTGAGACGTTCTGTTTCGGATGCGGTGGTTTTGCTGAGGTCTATGAGAGAATGGGCTACATATATTTCTTGTTTGAGATCATTCAAGTCTTGTCGAATGGCTTGGATCTCATGTTCTCGTTCGTCAGCTTGAGAAACCAGGGTTTTGTAATCGTATAAGAGAGCTAGCTTCTCAGATGGAACTGCGGTAGTCTCTTTACACACCCGGTACGGCGTGCGAGAGTACTTGCATTTTTCGCATTCACAGTCGAAGAAGTATCGTTGTTTCAGCTCTCCTCTCCGTTGATCACGGCTTTGTGTAAAGTCGACGTAGGAAATGAATATTTGTTCACCAGTCTTGATTGGATTCAGTGTCATCAATGATATGCTCCGACCATCGAACATGATAAAGGCATTTGGCATGCATGAGTGATTTGCCAGAGCCAGGGTTGGTTCATAACATAGTCCAATGGGCGTGTCGTCTGGGAGAGTGGCTCTGAACGCATTGGTAGCCATCTATGAATATATGAGTAGCTAGCATGTGGCACGAGCGAATGAGAAACTTACGATACAGAGCAGACGTGTGACCATGTCCATTTTATCTGCAGGAGTCTTCGAAAACTCGAGCGCTCCTTTCGCCTGGAGTACTATCTCATCCCACCTCTTACGATCTTTCTTCAGATCCTGAACATGATGCTCGAGACTTGCAGAGCGGGAATCCAATTCAAAGGTAGGTCTTACATAGCGAAGCAGTGCTTGATACAAAGCTCGGACAGGCGTGGGTGGAATGCCTGGAAGTCTCTGCAGGAGCGAACACTCGTTCTTATGAATCAATTTCCAATCAGCCTTTTGACATGTTGGCGTACAATATCGAACGACTTTGCATCCTGTACATCTCTTGAGAGACGAGGCGTCGCTTTCGATTAAGCAAAACGAGCAAACTTTCTCGAGGGCGTCCTTTTCGACGACGATCAGAAACGGTTCACTGATCTTGATAATCGGTTCTCCGGCACTGAGGTCTTTACTGGCTGCGAGACCATTTCCCAAGACTGGATCCTTCACAGTGTCCAAGTGATTGAAATCCATTGTGGGTGTGAAGTACAAGAATTAATCTGATGAGGTTGATTTGATATTGACCTTCAGAGGCGAAATCCGAGATTTTACCGAGTCTTTTCTTTTCCGAACGATCTGATTCCCAAGATGCTGTTGCACAGAAGTGTTGTTTTTAATGATTCCCCTTGAGCCCCGGGTGGAATTGTGTGAGTTAGTTCATCATGCGAATAAATCTATAAGTTGTATGGTGTCCAAGAGCTATATCTTCATATCCGCCCATAAACTCGCTGGCCACCCTCGTTTACTGCACATATTCTCTGAATATTGATTCACACAATGGACTTGAAAGAAAGATATTTCGTAAAGACGTTGGTATTTCCTGACGCATACTGACGCATACTGCTACCACCCAGGACACCTGCGCCTGCTATTGTACATACTTCCAATCTCCCTCAGATGTCTAGTTGTATTGCATGTAAGTAGCAGTAGAGTTGAACTTCAAGTTACCCTTGATAACCTTGTCAACCGCACTTAAGAAATCTTTCTCTGTAGCAACCTTCCTCCGCGAACGAATAGCAAACATGCCCGCCTCCGTGCACACACTTCTCAGTTCAGCACCAGTCGAGTTAGGGCAGAGACGTGAAATAAGCTCCCATCTGATATCTCGCTCAACGGACATGCTCTTGGCGTGAATTCGGAGAATGTTCGCTCTTCCCTCGAGATCTGGGAGGGAGAATTCAATCTTTCGGTCGATACGTCCGGGTCTCATGAGAGCGGGATCTAGCGTTGAAGGTCTGTTGGTAGCGAACATAACCTTGATGTTTCCACGTGCATCGAAACCGTCTAGTTGGGTAATAAGCTCCAACATGGTTCTTTGGACCTCATTATCTCCTCCAGCACCATCATCAAACCGAGCACCTCCGATAGCATCAATTTCATCAAAGAAAATAATGCAAGCCTTCTTCGTCCTTGCCATCTCGAAAAGCTCGCGCACCATTCTTGCACCCTCTCCAACGTACTTCTGCACAAGCTCACTTCCAATGACTCTGATGAACGTGGCATCTGTTCTATTCGCGACGGCTCTGGCGCAAAGAGTCTTTCCGGTTCCTGGAGGACCGTAGAGCAGGGCACCCTTGGGTGGGTCGATACCAAGGTTGACGAATCGTTCTGGTGATAACAGTGGCATCTCGACGACTTCACGGAGCTTCTCTACTTGTTCCTTGCATCCTCCAACATCACCGTATGTAACATCTGGCTTGTCCTCTACTGTCATCATGGTAACACTGGCATCGATCTTTGGTGGCAAGGGGAGAAGGATTTGGTACTTGTTTCGGTCGACACTGCATTGAAATTAGTACTATAGCTCAATAAAGCTTCATGGGCTGCTTACCCAACTCTCATACCCTCCTCAATATCCGTTGGACTGACACGCTCTCCGAGGTTAACCACGAACTTGGCTATTTGCTTGACGTTGATGACATATTTGCTCTTCTCTGGCTCCTTCTCATCTTGAATAATTTTGGTACACCGGGCAACTTGTAAAGGTTGCTCTTCGGACATTCGTTGACGGTCTGCAGCGACATCCCAGAGATGTGGTGGTGCTAACCCCGTATCTGATTCCTTGACGCCAATCTTCTCATTTACACTGTTCTGCTTCTCCTTGATCTGCTGCTCGAGCTTCTTGAGGGGGGCTGCGTACGGAGCTGCACCATATGTCTTTAGGACTTGGATATCCCTTTTGAGCTGTCAGCGGGAGGGATTGAGAAGCAGTCAGAGGCTACTTACTCGTCCGTCAAAGGTGTGATCTTCTTCTCTTCTATCTCATCATCCGCAAACTCTTTCTTGTACTTTTCCCAGCTATTCCCGGTAGCGGACCTGAAAGTATCTATTAGCTATGAAAGGGGTAGCTTTGGTACGTCGACATACGGCATGGCGAATGGAGGAAGTAGATGCGCTCGGAAATACGTTCAAAAGGTCGCAGAGGAGCGTAAGGCACGGGAATATGATGCGAGACAGGAACAAGATGCGGAGAATGTCCAAGACCTTGTGGGAGATTCCGAATTCCGAATAGAGCGGAAGGGTAGATTATTGAGGTTGCGAGTATTTGTTGATAAAGGCAAGCAGGCAAGCAGGCAAGCTTGAGGACGTATCGCGGTTGCGTTGTAAGCTTCTCGGTCGACCGTAGCTAGCGCCGAACTCTCAAAAATCAGTCGCCTTGTGAGAAATTCAAGAGCTGGACGCGATGTGAGGCATTGCACGCGACGGCACTTCTCAACAACCACATAAAGCCCGGAATACCCTCACTTTGCCAAAAACGAGTCAGGATACTTCAAGATGGCTGTCACCCAAGCTTCGGCGAATTCTACCAATGCCGCCTTCAAGGTGCGAGTTTCTGGAGCTTCAATATAAGTTTAGGTAGCTAACCATGTCAACAGGACAAGGAGAAGCCTATGGCTGTTCGCACAGCAAATATTGTTGCTGCGAGAGGTATGCAACTGCTATCTACAGCTTCAGGATGCTTATACTGACCCTTAATAGCTGTTGCGGATGCTATAAGAACGAGCTTAGGTCCCCGAGGCAGTGTGTACAACCTCCCTTTTACTTTAGAAACCTGCTAATACCCCTCTGGTGGATAAGATGATCATGACAGGGCGTGGAGAGACGATGATTACGAATGATGGAAATACCATGTTGAAAAGCATGTCTGTTATGCACCCCTCAGCCAAGATGCTGGTAGACCTTTCAGCAGCACAAGATGTCGAAGCAGGAGATGGAACTACGTCGGTAGTAGTAATTGCAGGAAGTTTATTAGGAGCCGCAGATAGATTACTTGGAAAGGGAATCCACCCTTCAGTTATCGCCGAGTCCTTCCAAAGAGCAGCAGCCGCAGCTGTTCAGGTCCTCCACGATATGTCGGTTCCTGTCTCCCTGACCGATACGACTGTCCTCCTTCAAGCCGCCACCACCTCTCTTTCTTCCAAGATTGTTTCGCAACATTCGGGTTTACTCGGTCCTATGGCTGTTAATGCTGTTACGAACACTATTGATATTAAGACTGCGGATAATGTTGATTTGAAGAACATCAGGATAGTTAAGAAAGTCGGAGGCACAATCGAGGACAGTGAGATGGTTGAAGGTGTAGTCTTAACACAACAAGTTGTTAAGAATGGTGGTGGACCAGTCAGAATGGAAAAGGCACGGATAGGACTCATTCAGTTTCAACTCAGCCCTCCCAAGCCAGATGTAAGTTTACCCATTCATCTTGAAATGTACCTACTAATCTTCCTAGATGGAAAACCAAATCGTAGTAAATGACTACCGCCAAATGGACAAAATCCTCAAAGAAGAGCGCACCTACCTCCTCAATATGGTAAAGAAGATCAAAAAAGCAAAATGCAACGTCCTCTTCATCCAAAAATCCATTCTCCGCGACGCTGTCAACGACCTCTCCCTCCACTTCCTCGCCAAGCTCAACATCCTCTGCATTAAAGACATTGAGCGCGACGAGGTTGAATTCATCTGCAAATCCACCGGCTGCAAGCCTATCGCCGACATCGACTCGTTCTCCGAAGACAAACTTGGTAGCGCTGACTTGATCGAAGAAAGCCAGAGCAGCGGCAGCAGAATTGTTAAAGTCACGGGTACGAAGAGTGCTGGCAAGACCGTCAGCATCGTTTGCCGTGGCGCCAACTCTCTTATCCTGGACGAAGCAGAGCGTTCCCTCCATGATGCCCTTTGCGTTATCCGCTGTCTCGTCAAGAAGAAAGCGCTCATTGCTGGTGGTGGAGCCCCTGAGATCGAGATCGCTTCCCAGCTGTCTAAACAGAGCAGAAGCTTGACGGGCACAGAGGCTATCTGCTGGAAGGCGTTTGCTGATGCGATGGAGGTTATTCCTACGACGCTAGCGGAGAACGCGGGGTTGAATAGTATCAAGGTTGTCACAGAGCTCAGGCATAAGCATGAGTATGGAGAGAAGAATGCGGGTGTTAGTATCAAGAGTGGTGGGGTCAAGATTGATATTGGCGAGGAGAACGTGTTGCAGCCGTTGTTGGTGAGCACCAGTGCTGTAGAGCTGGCTGCCGAGACCGTAAAAATGATTCTGAGAATCGACGATATTTGCTTATCAAGATGAAGCTATCATGGATGTACAATAGCTAAAAGCAATAAGCTAAATCGAATTTATTCTTGTCAAGATGATGCTATCGTGGATGTATAATAGTTACAAGCAAGAAGCTAAAACAAAGTACTTTGTATAAATACCCACATTGAAGCCATGCCAATTTCCTGTAATATCTTATCTGAATAAAGCTATACTTGAGTATCTGTAGCAAATCCGGTCGTAATGGTATCTGGAGATAACACGAGAATTGAGACCCCCGATCAAGAATCGGGACAGTCGATTCGAAGCACAATCAAGAATCCCATGCAAGGTAAGGCTCAGACTCTGCGTCAACGACACGGTCATGACACTTCTCGTAATGTTCAATGAGACCTTTGATGGTAGAAAATACATAGCCCGTCTTGCCAGTGCAGTCCTTCAAATTACATGGTCGAGGACTCCATTTCGGGATATATGGCAAGCGGTCTGCTGGCTTTTTCAGATCATGAGACCGGATAAGATGATGGGCAAGGTTGATAAGGCGCTTAAACACAGTCGACTTACATCCGTCAAATGGGCAGGCTGTTGAAGGGAACCCTGAGTGCGCTGCATCCACATGAGTTTTCCATTTGCTAAAGGTATCGAAAATAACCGTAGGATCACAGCCTGCTTTGGTACAGGATTTTGGGACGTAGTCGTGATAGTCCTTGAAGTGCTTCTGTTGCTGATGTGCAGTGTCGAAGGATGATTTGCAGTTCTCTTGTGGGCATGGGAAGGCTTTGATACTGAGCAGGGCGGCGGCAGCAGCTTCTGTGGTAATCTTGCAAATCTCAACGTGCTTTTGGAGGTCTTGGGCAGTATTACTGGTGTAAGGACAGCCTGTAGCGTAATTGACGCACTTCCATCTGTAATGAGTCGGAGCGTCGCGGCTGTTCCCAACTGCAACATACTTTGGTGCCTCTCGCTCCCAATTTGAAGGACCCCATCTTGAGAGGGCCGAATTGCGGACAATGTTGACAGTGGAAAAGTACTTTGTAAACTCTACTGTATCAAGCAGCCATGGAGCATTTGCAGCTGGTACATCCTCGAACAACGGGTGTTGCTCTCTTGCGGGTTCCTTGGTTATCTTACCAGTATCAAGCATATCTTTGAGGGTGCTTGAAATGCGGATACGCTCGTGAGCACTGAGGCTGAACTTGGGGTACTCAAAGGTGAGCTTCAGGATGAGCTGTTTCAAGTAGTTCTTCATAGTATCGTATCGAGGAACGCTGTTGGCAACGGGCTTCATATACTGAGTGATAGTCGTCAAGAATCGCTCGATGTCTTCACCGGTAGGAGTTTTGGTGAGCCTGTTATTAGATGATTAGAGTCCAAAAGTACTTTTGGCTGTGGTAGGTGAACTTACTCCTTCTTCAGAGTGTTGACATAGAAGCTCTTGAAGCGGTTCCAGATGAGTGCACGAGTCATATGCATCTTTGGCGTCCCTATATTCAGAGCGAGATGCCTCGACTTTGCCTTGGACTTTCGTCGGTCCTCAAAGGACCCCTCAAGCATATTCTTGATGCTCTGCTGACCCAAATGAGCCAGTGGATCTTCGGGCGGAGGACCGAAGTCATCGTCTGATGAGTTGTACTCGTCAAGATCTGACATCTTGGAATGGACAGCGTCCTTTGATGCAGATATAGCGGTATTGGAGATGTGAAAGTTGAAGAGACGAGAAGGTGACTCGAGAAGGGTGAAATTGAGAAGTGAGAGGCGAGGTGAAGAGGTCAGAAAGTGAATGTGTGAACAGAGAAACGAGTGGGAGGCAAGGTGAAGAGGTCAGAAAGTGAATGTGTAAACAGAGAAACGAGTGTAAGTACAATCATGCATCGACAGCCCCGATTGATGCAGTGCAGCGGTGGCGAGTATACGTAGATGAAAAGGAGAGAAGGTTGAAGGGAGAAGAGACAGGCGAGCTTAAGTAGACGCGGGCAGGCTAGAGAGTGAATGGAAGAAGGCGCAAAGAAAGGTTGAAAGTTCACAGTTATGAGGGAAAGAGTAACCACACCTCCTTCTCTCCCTTCTCGAAAAGTACTTTCCTTCCCCAACTTCCCTTCCCCAACGCAATATTAGGAGGAAGAGTAAGTCCGTCCTCATAGATGATATGATATTTTCCTCTTCTTCCTATTGAACGATAGACGGAATGTAATAGTCATGACTATATTGTAATATAGAGCTCATGTAGCATAAAAAATACCAGAGCCAATCATGAAGATATACTTGGTTGGGTTTTAAGTGATGGCTAGGCGTTGATTTTAAGCGAGAAACACACTTAATAAGTTCTCTGCTCTATAAATTAGTAGATAAAATAGATAGTAAAATTATGTCTAATAAAACCTTTTCAGAATTACTTTAATTATATCTCATTTATTTATAAAGTTAAAGTAGGCTTTTATTCTAATAATATAATTTTATAAGTAAAAACCCGCTAAAATCGCATATTTCCTTACTAAAATTAAGTCCAAGTTACTATATTTACATGTAATTTAAAAGAAATCTAGAGAGATAACTTATAAATGAAATTAATGGAAATATTATTTAGAAGGCAAAATCAATATCTTTGACCTTCTTAGAGTTTATATTAGCATGCATTAATGTTTTATAAGAGGAAATAGCGATTTCTACATAGTAATTTGCCGAGTGTTGGCCATCACTTAAACCCCCACCAAGTACACTTCCCCCCTTGCGCTTTTGTTACTGTATGCTCTATAGGTAGAAAATGACCCTGCACCTAGTCGCGTAAATTCCCTTCATATTTGTAGGTATCTAGTCGTTCATTCTTCATTCCAGCTGACAGATTCAATTCAGGGGCGAAGGCGTAGGCGTATCACAAAGGCGGTGAAGGAGCTAACCCCTCGAACGTGCATTGGTTCGCGCTAGCCCCCCACCAACATGTACCTACTCTCGACCCCAAAACTCTCCACCTTTCAACTTACCTTCAACGTCCTCCCGACAGTTGCTTCGCGCTGCTTTTCGTTGCTTTGGCTAAATTGAGGTTATTGATCCATCTATACCTCCATACACAAACCTTTAAACAAATTACTCATCATGACTAGAGGCGAGGTATGTATATCTATTTGACGGAGATATGTACGGGCGCGTATTTTGTGATTTCAATGGTTTGTTTGAGTTCGGAATTGAGGCTGATTGATGTGTCCCCTAGATTCTCCATCTTCATATCGGCCAGGCGGGCACCCAGCTCGGGAACAGTGCTTGGGAACTGTACGTCTTGCACTTCCATTCCCCCCTCCATACCTACCTACCTACCTCAATAAATTACTCAATCCTAACACAACCCCCCCGTCTTCCAGTTACCTCCTCGAGCATGGCCTCAAGAAAGACGGTCGACCCGACCCCGACGCCAAAGACCTGCATGATTCCGGCGAGCTGGATACCGTATTCACAGAGACGGGCAGCGGCAAATACGTGCCGCGTTCTATCTTTGTTGATCTGGATCCTAGTCCCATTGACGAAATCCGCACGGGTGATTATCGCCAGTTGTTCCATCCCGAGATGTTAATTAGTGGTAAGGAGGATGCGGCGAATAATTATGCTAGGGGGCATTATACTATTGGGAAAGAGATTTTAGATGGGACGTTGGACAAGATTAGACGTGTCTTGGTAGGTTGTGTTTGATCTTCCATGCCCCCTTCCCTACTACCTAGATAGTCTCTTTTCTGATGTATAATGTATTGATTTTCCACTTGTGTTGTGTTTTGAGAGCACATAAATTGACAAGTCAACAGGACAACTGCTCTTCCCTCCAAGGCTTCCTAATCTTCCACTCCTTTGGCGGTGGCACCGGCTCAGGCTTTGGCTCCTTGTTGCTCGAGCGCCTCTCGACCGACTACGGCAAGAAATCCAAACTTGAATTCGCCGTTTACCCTGCGCCCCGCGTTAGCACCGCAGTGGTAGAACCATACAATGCCGTGCTCTCAACACACAGCACCATCGAGAATAGCGACTGCACCTTTCTTGTCGACAACGAGGCCGTGTACGACATCTGTCGCCGCAACCTCGATATCCCGCGCCCTTCCTTCGAACACCTGAACCGTCTGATCGCGCAGGTCGTGAGCAGTATTACGAGTAGTTTGCGCTTCGACGGCGCGCTGAACGTCGATTTGAATGAGTTTCAGACGAACCTGGTGCCGTATCCCAGGATTCATTACCCGTTGATTAGTTATGCGCCTGTCATCAGCGCTGCGAAGAGTAGTCATGAGAGTTTCAAGACTCAAGATTTGACGCTTCAGTAAGCCCCCTAGCGCCATTTATTCAACCCCTATCCCAATCTCCCTCCTTAAATCGCTTGTTGCTAACACTATATCCCAGGTGCTTCGAACCCAACAACCAAATGGTAGTCTGCGACCCTCGCAACGGAAAATACATGGCCGTTGCGCTCCTCTACCGCGGCGACGTGGTCCCCCGCGACTGCAACGCAGCCGTCGCGTCCCTGAAAGCCAAAACCTCATTCAACCTCGTAGAATGGTGTCCCACAGGTTTCAAACTGGGCATCAACTACCAGAAGCCCGTCTCGGTCCCTTCGACCTCGCCCAACGATGGCGCCCTGGCATCCGTAGACCGCAGCGTCAGCATGCTGAGCAACACCACGGCGATTGCCGAGGCGTGGAGCAGGCTGGACCATAAGTTCGATCTGATGTATAGCAAGCGCGCGTTTGTGCATTGGTATGTAGGCGAGGGCATGGAGGAGGGCGAGTTTAGTGAGGCGAGGGAGGATCTGGCGGCGCTGGAGAAGGATTATGAAGAGGTTGCTGCGGATAGTTTTGATCCTGAGGAAGGGGAGGAGGAGTATTAGACCATGAGCCACAGGCGAGGCGCGAGGCTCTAGACGAGGCTTGTGGAACTTGCGTGGCTTGCGAACTTCTTGCTGGCTTTCTTTATGCGGCTCTACAGGCCTGGCTCGACTGCACGGGCACGGGCACGGGCGCGGGGCTTTTTCTATTCCACCTTTGCTTCTCCAGCGTTTCAGAAGATGAGGCGGTATCTATCCAACCATCACCCATCCAAGCTCGATTTCCTTCCTCTTTTTCTATTTTAACGAATTTGACGATAAATGAAGAAGCTTCTCAAACCAATGAATGAATTAATGAACATTTCAAGTAAGCAAGCAGAGTAGAGAGTAGGGTGAATACTGATTGATATTTTACTGATAATTCGGGGGCGATGGTTACTAGGCATATCACGCCGCATATGGTAATCAGATAAGTAAACTAACTATAAACACTGCATTGTATTACATCTGGCAAACAATGAATTTGGTAGGCGGGTATATTGTGAGGAAGGGGAAGTGCAATAAGTAGAAAGCGGTCTCACATCATATCACATCACATCGCAGCAGCAGAGAAGTCTTGCAAAAAACATGTTCGTCAATCTTTCGCGAAAATATCACTAGCACTATGATACACAACCAGCAGCCAGCTAGAACAAAACCTAGCTAGCTGTATAAGCCAGCGGCCATAGCCATAGCAGCAAGCCCTTATGTATTCATCATTCCAAACGCCCGGGTACTTTTGAAGGAAAGGATTCATCAGTAGTTAAGTTCTCCAGACCCACCACCAGCAACTGCATCAAGATCCTCATACGACTTGAGACTTCTGCCCTGGACAGCTTCCCGAGGTCCAACTGCAGCACCACCAGCTGCACCATCGCCCCATCTTCCACCACCACTTGCTAATCCACCGCGTCTTGCGCCGGGAGGAGGGCTGAGTCGGCCGTTATCACTACCCCAACGCTGATTTCTCGGTTGGCGATCATATGGACCGGTGCGAGAGGTTGGGAATTGTCTTCCACCACGACGCACTGGACCACCGCGAGTATCTCCGGCAGGCCAGCCAAGTGGTGCTTGGACTGCATGGCCTGCGAGGAAAGGAGGGAAGTTGCCTGGGGGACCGAACCCTTGCATTAGAGGCATGCCATTCATACCGAAATTTTGAAGGTTAAAACCACGAGGTGTTCCAGCAGGCATGTGCCCATTGGCGGGTGGGAAATGACCATTGCTGTTGGCATCACTTCGAGACGGTGCAATGTGGGCAGGGTCAATAACGTAAGTATTGATCAGGTCAAACTATAAAATGTTAGCAATATCAAGATAAACTCAATCAACAAACTTACGTCTTTCTTCATTCCCTCCAACCACTCAGGATGACGCTTCTCAACATGCTTCTTCCAGAAATGCTCCTCCTTGAACAACTTTGCACAATCCGGAACTCGGCACCTGAATTTATGGTCATCCTCTTGCTTGACAAATTTAACAAGTTCCTCTTTTAGTGCTTCTTCAGTTGGCTTGCCACCAAGCTTTCGAACGTCAACTGCTTCAGGCTCGAGAATCTGCAAGATCTTGTCCTCGAAAGTCTTGACCCAGTTGAAAGCACGTTGAAGTTGTTGATCTGCTTTGGAAGCTACGCCACTGCGTGGAAACTTTCGATCACCTTCAGGAGATACTGGAGTCTGCATGTCTATATCATCCGCCATGTCGGTACCTGTACGCTTCTTTCCTGGGAAAGGCTCGCCTGAAGCGCTGGCTCGTGCAGCAGCTTTGGCAGAAGTAGTCAAAGTGTTGCGTGGTCTGCGAAGATGACCTCCTGGACATTTCCGAGTGAGCTCGTGGATAGAGTCGGATTCGAAGACGCAAAAGAAGCAAAAATTGAAGACACGGCGGAGATATTCGACCATGAGATCAAGCTGTTTCTTTTTTATAAGCAGCTCTTCGTCGTCGACCTCATCATCCAGAGCACCTTCTTCTTCATCCTCCTCGATTTCTTCTCCCTCTTCACCCTCATCCATCGCTTCGTCAAGACCAAGGAAATCGCGAGACTTCTTTTCTTTCTTGGCAGTAGGTGCAGTGACAGGAGGAAGTAAGCGACCTTGATTCTTCAGATCCTCAACTCTCTCCTCAATCTTCAGAACAGCATTGAAGTCTGATCCGAAATCTTCCTCGAACTTTTGCACAAGGCGCTGAGCTAAGTCTACATCCTTGTCAATCCGCTCAGGAGCTGAAAACAGATCCCACAAAGCTTTTTTCCGGGGAAGATTGGGAGGCGCATGGACACCGACATGGCATGTGAAATCTCCCCTAACCTCATCTTTGACCGTTTTACCATTGATTGCGTCGAGAGCCTTTTCAGCTGTAGAATGGGGTATCGGGTCCTTCGTTTTGACGTCTCCCTCTCCCTCTTCACCTTCATCCATCATTTCTTGACGCTCGACAATAGGGACAGATTCAGGAGCAGGATGAAGCATAACCCAACCAATCCGATGGTAGCGCTTGCTTGGATTTGGATCGCTCAAGCTCAACCACTTGAACCCGCCCTCATCTTCACCTAGATGCTCTTTGCAGAAGGCTTCTAGATTTATGCGATTGACATGAGGGGCGATGGTTTTGATAAGAAGAGTTGGCTGGAAAGCGTTCTCATCTCGGATATCACTGCCTTTGGATGGAACAAGATCACCAACACCAAGAACCTCATTCGCTGCGGTTGTTTCGCCTTCTTCCTTCTCAACCACCCCACCAGCACCGTTGCTCTCGCTCTTTGGAATGCCCTCCAATGAATACTCATCGAATGTTCCAGACTCCAGATCCTGCTCCCATTGACTGTAGTTACCTCGTCGAAATTCGTTCAGTTTACTGCGCAAAGGATCTTTGACTTCCGGATAGTATCTCTCCTGGAACCATTGTTCGCCTTTGTGCTCTTGCACAAATGCTCTCGCCATCTTAGCCTGTAGCTCCTCCTTGTATTCATCGTACGCGGCTTGAATGCGAGCCTTCTCCTTCTCACGATCTTCGGGGTTGTCACGAGGTCGGAGAGGTTCTCCACGCTTTCCAGTCCTCGCGCGTTCACGTTCGTCCTTGATCTTCTCATTCGTGCGCCACCACTCTCCAAAGTATGAAAATCCGACCTGGAAAGCCAAGGATGCAGGGTCTGCCAACGGGTTGACGGTGATTTGAGGACCTGAATCTTGGCCTGGAACATATCGATCAATGTTGGCTGGACCTGGCGATGGTCGGCGACGTTCACCGCGATCACGCTCTCTAGCTCTGTCATAATCATCTCTTGGCGGGCGGCCCGCAGGCTCGTACCGGTCTACATTAGGTGGTGAACGAGTTCGCTCGCGAGGACGAGTTCGACGGTCATTGCCTGCATAAATGGAATGTAAGTATGATATTCATTATGTTTGTCCAAGAAAAAGTAAACTCAACGCCGAACAATGGCTTGTGCAAATGTATGTGCAACAGAAGCTCCAGCCTTGCAGCTGCATGTAGTCCAGGAGAGCGGCACCAAAGTGAAACAAGGCAGCGGGTACCATGTGAAAAATAGAGAACGTACCAGGAGACCGACCACGATAGAAGTTATCACGCGGTTCCGCACGTTCAGCAGGCCTATAACCATCATCACGTCCACCCCAGCTTGTCCTTTCGGGTGGGGATCTGGCGAGCGGTGGCTCTCTGTAGCCTTGGTATGCGTCCATTGCGGTGTTACTGTATGTACGTTTTCAATTGTCGCGTAGAGGAATCTGGACTGGTGATCGTTCTGGTAGGACGATTGGCTTCTTTTTAGGAGGGGTGTAGAGCTGTTGGCTCGGGGTTTGCTGCCTGTCAAGTGACACCTGGGGTTTGTCGTTCGGAGGTGAGGACAACGAAGCTACTGCTATTTGGCGCCATGATTGCTTGTCAGAGGATTGTTCAAAAAGTAGTGACGAGTAGAATAGTATGTAAAAGACGATTGAAGAACTGATGAGCGCGAGCTGAAGTTGATGATACGAGGGCAAGAGGCAGTAGAAAAGTGAGGTAGAAATGCGGTGATTCGCGCCTGTTTACAGACAGACGAATAACAAGTCTCTCAATGATGTGCTCTGGTCTGAATTGAAGAATGGGTATGGGGGTAGATTGATAATAAGGTGCAAGAAAAGGCAGTAGCAGGATCAGGTAGGTAGTGTATGATATGATTTTGATGGTAGAAAGGGTGAAAAGGATAGACAAACAAGATTGAATGTTGGGTTTTGCTCCTGTCGTGTCTGAGCATTCCTCGTCCAAGTGCGAGCTGGACAAATGAGGATGAGGATGAGGATGAGGAGAAGCAGTCGGAGCTGAGGATCGGGGTGGATTCACGGTCATTGCATGCGACGGCGACATCAACATGGTTACCGTAGATTAACGCGCGGTAGATGAGGCGCTGGGTAGTGGGGCCGATTTGGGTGGGCAGAGTAGAGTGGAGATGTGGTGTGATTGGCCGTGGCAATAGAATAATGAGGAGATGATGATTGGCCAGTTTCACGAAGCCATCAATCACGGAAGGAGGGGAAAACATGCCACTCAGTCCACTCAGTCTCCTTACTTGGGTTGATAAAGCTATAGCTGTCTCTCAGTCCTCTCTCTCTCTCTCTCTCTCTCTCCCCCCTCATTCTTCACAGTTACAACGATACCACAAACAGAAAGAGCGATAAGTAAGTACTTTATATATGTTTGCTACTATCTATTCTGCATACCTGTTATAGGAGATACGGAGTAAGGTATCAAAGCTTCAATCAACGGCTTTGAATCTACGTCATCGCATAACAGGGGGGGCTCATGATCTGATACAAGTACTTAAACACAACATGGAACTCCCAATCTTCAATTGAAGAACCATCTTCTCAGTACTTAAACTTTGTCCTTACCTTACTGACTACATCAAGCCAGAATCGCAACAATGACTACTTTCATCCCCTCCCTCACCCTCCCCGCTGCCGTCTTCGCCAGTCCCGCCGCCTCAATCCTACTTCCAATTGCATTGGGAACAGCAGTTGGATTCAGCGTTTCTCGTAAGTCCATACACCTATACTTCCAAGAATCAACTCCTCCCCCTCACCCCAATTCCTTTCTTTCACTTTCCGCAACCAAACCAAACAAACGAAACTAACATACCCCCTCCCATCCAGCAAAAGAATCCCATAAACACTACCTCGCTCTCAAACAGCCGCCCTACCGCCCACCCCCTCAGGTCTTCGGCCCAGCATGGACCATCCTATACGGCCTCATGGGCTACTCGGCCTACCGCGCCTACACAGTGGGCATGTCGCCCTTTGCGTCCGCCGAGCACCAGCTCATAACCAAGCACGGCGCAACGCTGTATACCGTGCAGCTGGGCCTGAATCTAATCTGGATGCCGTTGTTCTTCTGGGCCAAGCGACCAATTGAGGCCACGGTTGATATTGTTGCTTTGACTGGTAAGTTATATATATACCCCACGTTCTTTCCTACCCACCTCTTCTCTTTCAATCCATCCTCTTGACATGTGATGTCGTAAGATCTGCACGCCAGCTGCTAACAACCCAACAGGTGTAACCGGCTACCTAACTTACCTCTGGGGCTCAGTCGACACCGTCGCCGGCCTAGCACTCGTCCCCTACCTCGGCTGGCTCGGATTCGCCACCTACCTCAGTGCCGGCGTCGGGTACCTGAACAACTGGGACATGTCGCACAAGGAGGTCGACCACCCACATACCAAGCCCACGAAGTTCGTTGACGAGGAGGAGGAGTAAATAAACCAAATCAAATTATTTGTAAATTGAAATTGAAACGGGAATTCGAAGGGCAAAGAGAAGTGGAATGGGGTGGATCCTTGACTTGACTTGAGGTGAAGGAGGTGGTATGATTTTCAGACGAGTAGGGAGTTGTGGGCATGTTAGGAATAGGAACACATGCGTATACCGATGAATTTATTTATCTCCTTGATAATCTCCAATTATCCAGCTAGCAATGCTACAGTACGATTCCAAACCATAATGATTTATCACAAACCCAACAGCCAACAGACTTATTCTACCTAAGTATAACCCTCCTAGCTTAACTCAACTCAAATTATCTAAACTTCATCTAAAACGACTTTAAAGTAGAAGAAAGACAGTATCAAACGAACGCTAAGAATCAATGAACTAATGAATTTCATTTCAACCAATTACAAGTCTGACTGACTGACTGGCTTCCTTCTATCGCATCTATACTATGCCACCATGCCGTGCCATGCCAAGCCATCATGCTTGCTAATGATGTATCTCCAACCCAACGTAAAACGTAGAGTGTACCCTCATCTAATCCAGGCACGCTCCAGGTAGGTAAACATATTCTCGCCATGAATCCTAAGGAATCCGATCCCTTCCCATCCACCTAATCCTCCGTCTACCGCTCCCTCCTATGCACAGAACCCCGCATGCATGCATCGTTCATATGATACCAGAGCTTCCTTCGCACGTACAACCCAGTCGGACTATTCCCGCATTCTACTCAGCCAACACCATTCTCAACATAGCCAAGAAGCTCTCCCTCAACTTCTGCACCTCAACCACAACAGGCTTCACCGGCTCCCCCGCTGTCCTGCGCAGATGATCCTGCTTCCTCGCCCTCCTCTTCCGCTCCGCCTCCACCGGATCCAGCTCATCATCCGCCTCATCCTCATCACTACTCTCCTCACTCTCATCATAATTAATCTCCTGCAAGTCCATCTGATCAATGCCAAAATCATTACTCTTGAAATGCAGCGCCCCTGGAACACTCTCCACATTGATGCTTCCATTGCCCTCAGCCGCCATCTTCTGCCGAGTTTTGTCTTGGTGCCATTTCTTGCGTGCTTCTTGCCACGAGATCAAGGCGTCGATTTCAGAGACGGCCGTTTCTTTCGAGAGTTGCTTGACACTGACGGCGCCGGCGACTAGGGCGTTGATGTCGAGTTTGCCGGCTTTGGGACCGTGGCGCAGGAATTCGAGTATGCCTTCTATCCATCCCATTAACTGACCAAAGAGGCCATTATCATGCGTGTGCACCTCGTGGACAAATTTGTAGAAGTTGTGTTCGTGGCGTTGGCAGAGGTCGATGAAAGCTTGCACGGTCTGGTTAGGGTCAGCGGATACGTCTTGCTCGCGGCATTTGTCGACGACCTGGAGGTTTTTGTTAGTTGGCGGGTTATATGTGTTTAGATGGTTGGATATTACTTGGATCATGTCATCGATAAATACTGCAAAGTCTGTAACGCTGTTGTAGACGTTTGCTGACTTGTACACTCGCACAAGAGGCTCGTAGAATATTGTGAATAAGTCTCGGAGAAGCTGAAGTGTGACAGGCTCCTCAATCATGCTCAGCATCATCGACTTGTCTCGTTGCCGAGTGTAAAGCTTTAGAAGCTGCTTCAGGTATGAGAACAATTGTGCACCCTGCTTCATCTCCTCATCGACATTGTCCACAACATTGTTCCATGCCACCCAGGAGTTGTAAATCTTGCCGATTTGCTCAGAGTTCAATGCAGGATCGATGTCTTCTGATCTGAGAATAGCAACGATCAAATCGACGCTCTCATTCTCAGATTCTTCTCGGATGGAATTTTTTACTTCTTCGGAAGCATCAGTGAACTTCTTCAACTTATTACTGAAGACTGGCTCCCCAATTTTGAGAACTAAAGAATCAATGGACTTCTGGAAACTCCTGATACCGTCGTTCAATGTGAGAGAGAATATTCGTTGCATCAGTGATCTGGCACCGAATGGCTGTGCTAGGAATATATCAAGTATACTGGACATAACAGCAGCTGGATTTGCTATTCGGATAGCGTTCTTGATAATGGTATATGGAATCATGGAATGAATCTTTTTTGCTTGGGCAAAAAGCTCAGGTGAGTTATCTTCTGCAAGGAAGAGGTGGTAAATCGTAGCCGCAATCTCAATTCGTAACCATTCTGCGAACTTTTGGTATTGGACGCTGAGGTCCTGGATCGTCGGCTTATCCTTAATTTCCTTAAAGAGCTTGGTAAGGCCATTGTCTTCTACAATATCACGGCGGAATCTGCACTTCGTTAGCTCATTGTCATGCACCACTCATTGGAACATACTGCTCCATATAAACATCCAGCTCTGCAGCACGCTTTCTCGCAATCTCATAGAACTTCTTCTGCTCTTCAACTCTCTTCTCATCCATAGCTTTGCGGCGTGCAATATCTTCCACATCTGCATCGGTAGGTGTAATTGGCTCATGGGATAAAAACTCAGATATAGCTCTGGTGCTGGCAATTTGGGGGTTAGATAGAAGTGATCTAAGGAATGCTCTGAGAGAGATCCGTTGGCTCTCGCGCCATAACGTGATAGGCTATAGATTGTTAGCGGTATTTCAAAATTTTGTATGTGCCATGTACCTCTTGATTGGGAATTGGAGTTGTAGGAGTTGCTGGAGTTGAGGGGACAAATGGCCTTCCGGAATCCGTGCTGGGTCTAGGAGAGCTTCTCCCAAATGAAGCTTTGGAAGGGGTTCGACGGTGATCTGCACGGAATTAGCATAAGTAGGCTTAGATTAGACATTAGCATACCACGAATTGAAAGGTTGGTCAAGGAAGTATCAACTTTCAATGTTCCCATGGTACTAACGGAAGATACTGAAGAGTTATCATCGTCACCACCACCAGTAACAGCACTGAATAGGTTCGATGCGGTAGAGCTTTGCTTATTCTTCCTTGGTAATGGAGGGAGGATTTTTCCTGGCATCTCGGTGCGTAATTTGTTGTGAAGCCTCTTGAAATCTCCATATCGTCTTCCAATAAAGAATTCGAGTTCGTTCTTTCTCTTGACCCTCAATATGAATTCCTAAAGCATTGTCAGCAGGGACCAAAAACACCCCCCAAGGGAAACTTACAGCATGCTTGTGGTATCTGATATTCCTCTTCACAGAAACCGTCCTGACACCCGCAACATTGACATCCCACCCATTCAGATAATGGCCCTCTGGCATTGTCGATAGAACCCCATTTTCAATAGCCCCCGCATCCACAACCTCCAACTCGGAAAAGCGTATCCGTTCTTCATATCCAGAGGCCGTAGGTATACCCGAGACCATCATCAGCTCCACCAGCTTCTGCGCCTTTATAGACAGCTTCCGTCGCTTCGTCTCTTCCAGTCTATCTTCCGAGGAAGAAATATGCTTGCTTGCGAACGATTGTAAGAACTACATTACGCCCAATTAGCCCCCCACCCCCTCAATCCTTACACCATAGCGGATATTGAACTCACCACCTGCAACTTGTCCTGCCAAAACTCCTTCTCCTTTGCCTTATCCAAGAACGGGAACTCGCGCACATGATGGACGAAAATATACCTCAGAATCGGCAGATCAGAATCCAGCGGCGACACCTCTCCAAAGTCCGACTTGAAGGGTGCTCCGAATCGTTGTAGAGCAGTGGGGGAGTTTAGCTCGGTAATTTCGAATTTGACTTGCTGGGCTATGAGCTCGCGCTTGAGATCTGTGGGTAGCTGTCAGAACTGTACTCTGTAGAAATCAAGAGGTATTGGGGAGACGTACAATGTTCTTGTTTCCCTGTAAGCGCCTGTGTCTCTCGGGCTGCGACGGCGGAGGAGCTGTTTGAAGACATGATTGCTTGCTGCTGCCGTTAAGCCTTCTCACAGGCTCTCCGTTCCTGACTTGCTTCACCGTACCGTGTGATGGCGAGAGCACTCTGATAGATATCTGCCGATCTATTGATGCTGAAAAGCTCTTCTCGAGCTCGGGTTCCTGACTGGTGCGAGGTTTGTGGTTTAAGATTACTGTACAGCTTTGCGAGTTATGTACTGTATGCAAACAGACGTACGGCCTTTAGCGGGGTATTGTAGAGGGGCTGAGGCCCGAGGGGTTTCGTGATTAATCCTTCCGCTTATGGTTGTGAATGAACTTTTGATTAATTACAGTATAAATATAGATGTGAATGTAGAATGTTGATATATTATTGTTTACAGATATTCTCTAGTCACAGGTAAAAATAAGTTTCAAGTTGGTCCCTTGTAGTTGTGCCCGTCCTGTCCTGTGATGCTGTCAACAGGGATCACGAGTAGAGTGACGGCTTCAGCCCAGGATCGTCGTCATCGCGGCTACGAATCATTTTGCCTGGCTCGTATCATATGTGCTCGAAACAGGAGTAGGTTCGTATTGGAATTATAAACACCTGAGGAGTTGGAAAGCAACCTCAACCCTGAAGATAATCTTCGGGAGAAAAAGCACCTCCGGAGCAAAATACTATCATGATACCAATACCCATATCTTCGGCGCCCGATATCCAGCAACAGCTGACTGTTATACCCACCTGGTGTTCAACTCTAGGGCTGATGAATTATGCTACTCGGCATCAAATCCAGGGAATATGCGTAATCATGTCGTACCGCTTCCTGTTAATCCCTAGACAAGAATAGCTTCTCTCAAGTCTTGAGCCTATTAGCCCTCTACCGTACAGCCTTTCATAACTCATCAAGGAGTCTCAGCCTCGGATCATCCCCCAAATCTTCCTCGTCTCCATCCTGCAATCCCTTCAACTTACCACCTGTCGCTACCCCCCTCGGCAAATTAAACACCCCGCCGCCAATCTCCGCCACCTTCTTCTCCAACTCCGTCATATTCACCCCCTTAATCACTCCAGGCCCTTGAGTCTTCGCAGGTGTATACCTCAGGACCACAAGCGCAAGCACAAGCACCGCAACCACCGACATAACAATCCACAAAAACCTCAGCCTCTTCCGCGTCTTCTCCTGCCACGCGAACTCCGCTCTCTCCCAACCCTCCACTCTCTCCCTAACAACATCAACTCTGCCCCCTAGAACAGTAATCTTCTCCCTGCCTTGCACTATGCGTGCCTGTAACCCCGCAATCCTGCTCTCTTGACTCTCAAACCCCTCAAACGCGTTGATATGGCTACTGATATCACTAACAATCTCCTCGCTCTCGGTCTTGAATTCCGAGTTGAGGGCCTTTGTCATGCCTGCTAACTCTTTCAGGGATATGATTGTGTTTTGTAGTACGCTAAGTTTCTCGAGGACGCTGTAGTAGGTGTTGTCTAGGCGGCGAGTTGTGTTATCTGAGAGGGTGTTTAAACTCATTAATGCATTGCGTAGTTCACTGTTACCACAAGTACAAATATCAGTGAGATGTTCTATTCCATAGTTTGAATTCGATATGATATGGGGCATGAGGGGAACGAACGTAGCTCTCAAAACCCCCTTCTCCTTCTCCTCCATGACCTCTTTATCTCCTACCTCCCTCCTCTTCTCCCCCTCGGACGGAATCGGCACCTCAAACACACTGGCCTGGCGACTCACATCCCGACTTTCAGTTGGCTCGCTCCTGCTTACTGAGGGTTGTAGAGAGCTTTGCGGGAATTCTCCTTCTGGTAATTTGTCTTTGTCTTTACGATGTAGATGCGGATGGTGATGTCCATGGTGGTTGCGAGCATGTAGTTTGGAGGTGCCGACTTCGGTGATTGAGCGGGCGGCTTGCCGTTGGGGTCTAGTCGGGGAGGAGGTGGTAATCTCTGGGGGTTTGGGATAATCGTAGATAGGGATGGGGATTGACATGGTTTGTTCTTGAGGAGGGAAGTTGTGCTTTGAGTTTGGAAGTTCACGCTTTCTCAGCCTTGTACGGGAGCTTGAGCGAGCCCGAGATGCAGGCATGTGAAGATGGATTTTGTCACAAAAAAGCCTCTTAAACTTTCCCATTGTAAAAATGTAATTTATGTGGAATAATAATAAAAAACTCTGGGGGTTAGTTGACGGTGTTGTAAATTCGTTATTCGTATGTGAACTTGCTTCATCAAAAGCCCATACAGTATAGAGTTTGCATTCCTTGTGAATCATATTCCGATCACATTCGGTGACCTATGCCCGAGGCTTTATATTATCATATGCTTGCCAAAAGAGAGCAGCACGCAAGAGGGCAGGTATTTGCGTGTCTTTCTGTGCGCTGCCGTGTGGTATAAACGTATCCGCCAACTTGCTGAGCAGAACAACTCAGAGTCCAGCCACTTCACAAACGCCATTTTCAGTCCCCAAACGCCAGTAATGCCGTAGAAGCTTGTCAAGATATGGCCACATCAAGACTTCAACATCTTATTCCTCTTCTCCTTCCTCTTCAGCCTTTCAACCCGTTTCTTGTGCATCGTCTCGGCCAGCTTCTCGTATCTAGCTTTCTCCTCTTTGACCGCACGTTTCTCTTTAAGCGCCGTGATCCTCCTCTGTGGCAGCACAATTAGCTCTTCTCTTCTCTCCTGCTAAACGCGCACCAGCAGAACCATAACCTACCTGTCTCTCAGTCTCCTTCTCCTCCTTCATCTCCTTCTCCTTGGCCTTTACAGCAGCCATGAACTTCCGCTCTTCTTGACGTTTCTCATATGTACCATTGCCTGCTTTAGGCCGGAATGCAGACTTTGGTTCGTGCCATTGCTTGCCTGGGAAAGAATTAGCTGGAGGCTTGAGAAAGAGAGGGAGGGTGGAAAGGCAAACCATTCTTGCGCATGCCCTGTGCTGGGACAGTTGTGGGTAGGCTTGGCGCAGTAGCCGTTGCTACTTCTGTAGACATGATAATCGGGGATATTACGAGATATGACAAGAGTGCTTAATATTTTGTAGAAGATGTTGTCCCGCACCCAGATTGCACGGCCGGATTATTTTCTACTGTATCGTGAAGTGGGTCGGAAAAGTTCTTGATCTAATCTGATCTGATAAGATTTTGCAGGGAATCTCCACCTCGTTACAAAAAGTGCGGGCTTTTTTCCTCGTGCTCGTGCAATGTCACTCGAGAATTTGATCCCGTTCCCTTCTCTTCCCTTCCCACACTCCACCACAACCTGGCTGGCTACAAGTACCTAATGAACACAAACTCAATATAACAGTCCCGCTGCTGAGGTGGCCTTCCATTGCTTTGCAGGGGTTCACAAACACAGTAAGACTCTTCTTGCCTTCATTAGCACCCCTCTTGACCGCCCCCCCCGGGACCCTCTACTTTGAAATGCTTTTCTCGATACAACGCACTCGGCGCACCTTTTCCCCACAACTACTTGGCACGATAACCTGGATTGTAAACTGAGAAAGAGAAGATCATCTTCCCTTTTTCTTTTTCCTTCTTGCTTGCTCTCTTCCAGCCCACCTGCCCGTCTCGTCTTCTCCTTAAACGGATGGTCCATCCCCCCCGCGCTTGGCTATATATCTTCTGCAAAGCCACTCACTGTTACATCGTCCCTGTGCCTGTCGTCATCCCGACACCGCAGTTCCATGAGTCTATACATAGAAGCATCAAGAAGCACTTGAACACCCCAATTCGTCTTTTCTAAAGACCTGGAGTACTGTACTGTACTACCTTCGGAAAATATAATATCATCCATCGTCCATCTGCCCCACTACGAAATCACGGAAACGCCGCATTTTTTGGATTGTCAACGACCAAGATGGCAGCAGCAGCGACCAAACCAGAGTTCTCTTCTGATAACTCTCCAGCCATCTCCGTCAAAGGCAAAGAAGCCATAATTGACGCCATGGAAGATATAGTCTTTGGCTCTGTACGTACTTATACTCCCCAATCCAAGAAACTCGCGTCACACAAACCTCCAAAACCATATCAGTACTCTCACTCTCACTCTCATGCCAACCCTCTTGCACGCGTGTAATATAATAACAATTGCTAACATGTCGTATCAATATTACAGATCGCAGGTATAGCGGGGAAATACATCGAATACCCATTCGACACCATAAAAGTGCGCCTCCAATCCCGCCCAGACGCCTACACCGGCCCCCTCGACTGTCTGCGCCAATCCCTGCGCACCGCCCCGCTGCTCTCTCTATACCGCGGCATCAGCGCGCCTCTGCTCGGCGCTGCGCTCGAAACCTCATCTCTGTTCTTCTGGGAGCGCGTCGGGCGAGAAACGCTTTTCTGGGGCGGGTTTTACGAGCGTGAGAAAGTGCTGCCACTGGGCGCCTTGTGGTGCACTGGTGCAATTAGCGGTGCGTTTACGAGTCTGGTGTTGACGCCTGTGGAGCTCGTCAAGTGCCGCATACAGGTTGATGGGGAGGGGAGGAGGGGCAAGGGGATCCGGGATGTGGTGAGGGAGGTTTGGAGGAGTGAGGGCGTGAGGGGTTTTTGGAGGGGACAGTTGGGGACGTTGATCAGGGAGACGGGCGGCTGTGCTGCTTGGTTCGGGAGTAAGGAAAGCATGACGCTCCTCTTCCGCCATCTCAACTCCACTCCATCCCCCAAATCTGCCACCTCAGCAATCCAATCCAATCCACACGACCTCCCTCCCCTCCCCCTCTGGCAACAAGCCCTAGCAGGCGCCAGCGCAGGCATGTCCTACAACTTCCTCTTCTTCCCTGCCGACACCATCAAGAGCCGCATGCAGACCGGCGGCAAACAAGCCTTCTGGGCCGAGGGCACAGCTATCTGGAGACAATACGGTCTCCGGGGTTTATATAGGGGCTGTGGCATTACGGTCGCGAGAAGTGCGCCCAGTAGTGCCTTTATTTTTATCATCTTCGATGCGCTGAAAGCGAGGTTTCACGTTGGCCCGTAGGCGTAGATGGAGGTGCATGCTTGGAGTAGTTTGGATTGATCGATCGATCGATCGCTTGCTTCATTTAGAATTGATGGTATTTTCTTGCATAAGCGGGTTGGCGTTGGGAATAGATGCATGGTAGATAGAAAGGATGCTTGATTTCCCTTTCATTTCATATGGGTGGCGCTTTGCATATGTCCTGGCGTTTTCAGGGGGGGAGCGGGGTTGGAGAGCATGCATGCATTATTTAAATATAGAGAGAGAGATGCCTGCCAATTGCAAAGCCTATATATAGAACAGTTATATTAGTTACTTACAGCAATGGATCAAATCAAAAGTCAATTCGGAATATTCGATCTGCATGTGCTTCAAGAAGTCACTCATAGCTATGTAATCAAAAGTCAATTCGGAGTATTGAATGGACTGCATGTGTTTTGATAAATTTGTATTCTTCATCCCTACCTACGTACATACACAAAGCAACTCAACCAACCATTCATAGCAAACAAGCACCGCACCGCACCACCAGCACCGCACCACCCGCAACCGCAAAAATATGCTACTGCTACAGCTACACTCGGAAAGAGTCCCCGTGACTAAAACATGCTTCTTCTCATCTCATAGCCCCTCGATCGAGTATAAAGATAAATATGCAATTGCTAAAATATTTCATCTAGTAAACACGCTTGAAAGGTGGCACGGCCTTGCACTCATTCTCATCCAGCGTGTTGGCTACGACGGCTCGGTATGTTAGGTCCGTCTTGCCATGGGGCTTCTTCTGGAAACTCAAGGTGTGCTTCATCCACTCCTTGTCGTCTCTTTCGGGGTAATCTTCTCGGGCGTGTGCACCGCGGGATTCCTTTCTCGCGACTGCGGATTCGGCGGTTTGGACGCTTGATAGGTTTGTTAGTACTGTTGTTCTAATAATAAGAAAGGGGAAAGGGACTTACGCGCAAGTTAACAAGTTTCTTAATTCTAAAGTCTCGACCAAATCCGAGTTCCAGATCATGCTTCGGTCCTTGATTCCGACATCCTTAAAGGTCTGGTCGACCTCGTTGATCTTCTTGACACCCTCTTCCAAACTCTCTTGCATACGGAACACACTTACGTCTGTCTGCATGGTCTTTTGCATTGCTAGACGGACTTCGTGTGTGCTCTTTGGGCCATCGGACGTTCGGATTTGGTCTAGGACCTTGATGGATTCAGCACCGGCGTCGGCGCTGATTTCCTTGTGGGGCATGCCTGGCTCAAAGTTATCCCGGACGGTGTGGGATACGGCGCGACCAAAAACGATCAGATCGAGGAGAGAATTGGCTCCCAAACGGTTGGCGCCGTGAACTGACACGCAAGCAGCTTCACCGCACGCGAAAAGACCAGGTACGACCTGGTCCTTACCTTCACCATCAACAGTGAGAACCTCACCAGTGTACTTGGTTGGGATACCACCCATATTGTAGTGAACTGTTGGTAGAACTGGAATAGGTTGCTTCCGGACATCGACACCAGAGAAGATAGAAGCAGTCTCGGAGATACCTGGAAGACGCTCGTGGAGAACCTCAGCTGGCAAATGGCTGAGCTGGAGGTAAAGATGGTCCTTATCAGGACCAACACCACGCCCCTCACGGATCTCCATTGTCATTGATCGAGAAACGACATCACGACTGGCAAGATCCTTGGCGGTTGGCGCGTAACGTTCCATAAACCGCTCTCCCTCAGAGTTCAACAAGTATCCACCTTCACCACGAGCACCTTCAGTAATCAAACATCCAGCTCCATAGATACCAGTTGGGTGAAATTGGACAAATTCGAGATCTTGGTTAGGTAGACCGGCGCGAGCAACCATAGCCATTCCATCACCCGTGCAAGTATGCGCTGAGGTACAACTGAAGTACGCACGTCCGTAACCACCAGTAGCCAAAACAGTGTTGTGTGCACGGAATCGGTGCAGAGTGCCGTCTTCCTGGTTATACGCGATAACACCCTTGCACTCGCCATCCTCCATAATCAGATCGAGAGCAAAATATTCGATAAAGTAATTTGTGTTGTGTCGGAGAGATTGGCCATAGAGAGTATGTAGGAGAGCATGTCCGGTTCTATCCGCAGCAGCGCAGCATCTGTATGCTTGTCCACCCTTTCCAAACTTTTGCGATTGACCACCGAAAGCACGTTGATAGCTGCAAACATCAGCAAAGTCTTCATGGTTAGTAAGTATGAAACTCACATCTTGCCATCGTCGGTTCTTGAGAAAGGGCAGCCGTAGTTCTCCAACTCAATAACAGATTTTGGGGCCTCTCTTGTCATATAATGAATTGCATCCTGATCTCCTAGCCAATCCGAACCCTTGACGGTATCGTACATATGCCATCTCCAGTCGTCCTCGTGCATGTTACCCAGCGCAGCATTGATACCTCCTTGTGCAGCTACCGTATGACTTCGAGTTGGAAATAGTTTCGATATACACGCGACGTTGAAACCAGCCTCGGCAAGACCGAAAGCTGCTCGCAGACCGGCACCACCGGCTCCCACAACAATCGCATCATATTCGTGATCCTAATAACCATCAGATGAAAGCCTTTAGGCATAGGTAGGGTACATACAACGACTGGGTATTTGTGGCTAGCGAAGGGCGAAGCTTCCTTGGCTCGGAGGGGCGCATTTGTTATTATCCTGGCTGCAAGACTCTCAGCTTTGTTTGATACTTGCAGACGGTCTATATATCATACCTGCGGATCTTGTAGAAGAGAAGGTTCTTGTCTGGCTCTTCAATGCCTTCGAGAGCTATACACAGCATTAGCATAGGCTCATGCTACTTGGGCCGAGGCAAGAGGCAAGCATACCGAAGGACCAGCTGTACACCTCCGCATTGCAAACGAAGACATATTGGAAGGTTAAGTACCAGAGGAGAAGAGGGGAGAGGGGAGAAGAAAGAGGAGAGAAAAAGAAGAGTATGCTGGTTGTTTGAGGCGATTCCGACTTCTAGAATGTCGAGTTCGTTGATGCCGTTCAGTTGCTAGAGCATTTCTTGAGCCAATAGGAGGGCCGGTTATCTTTGCTTACAACCAGCTCTTCCCTTCCGGTTGCCTTTGCCGAGGACGAAATTCTTTCGGAAGCAACATCACGTGTAGAGTCGTTTCCGCTTGGTTCCGCTCGAGAATTCATAGCAATATCTGGCTTAGATTCAGACGCGTTATGAGCCATTTCTCTATCTAAATCGCCATCTATATATCTTCTATTACGCATTAGAGTCACGTGGTTTAGATCGGTCTTCAGGCACCGGATAATCAGCAGGCGGAATCCTGCGTGCTTGATGAAACGACTTCTCTACATCACTTGGCTCTTGTCCCTCGCGTTTCAATATTCATCTAATTGAGAGCGGCAAGGACGAGTATGAGTACTTTTCATTGGCGGAGTATATTTATGTCTAGAACAAGAGGCCAGGCTTTACTCTATCACACCGTCACACAGAACCCCGTTCCGTGGTAAGCAATACAGTACCTCGCGTTACCAGCTTAGGAATTCCCTCCTGTGTCTATCTAGGTTCCGGTATTAGCGATGCAGTACATCGCCCAGAGATGACTTTTAATTGTTTGAATCCACTCTGAATGTCCCAGGGCGGCGTCAGCTGGGTGCTATGTTCATCAAATTCTCTTTCCTTTTTACGCAATCAATTAGGCTCAGCGGTCTAAAGATCTGTCGTTTCCTGCGGCGTAGTGATTGTGCTGGGATCAAACAGCCGGTAAAACAATTGCACGCGTGCGGAGAGCTATTGCCGATGGGCCTGAGTTCCGTCTATATTGCATTTTTGATGTATTTTCAGCTTTTCCATCACGTTGCCCGGCGAATCCATCCGTGGTATCTCTGCATGGCTATGGTGGCACTATCTACACTAAACGGGTAATTTCCCTTTTCAAAATGTCATACGGCCCAGCCTTACCCCACACAAGCACTATGCACCAACAACCCGCATGAATCCCATTGCCACTCCATGGAAAGGCCTTTCATCTACTCCCTCCAATAACAATTGAGCAATTCCTGTCATCACGTTTCCTCAACGAGCCCACGGAAAAAAGTTATATCTTGCTCTGTGTCTCCTCTCTCCTCTCCGTTTTCACTTGTTCATCTCATTCTTGTGTTCTGGTGTAGTTCATGCCCAATATGAAGACAATTAACTTTCTCTGTGGTGTTCTTGGCTGTGCCTTGTACTGTGAGAATCCCAATTGCATGTTTATTCCATCCCTGACATAATATAGTTTTTTCACCCGTGCTGGCACAAGACTTTGCCGCTCATGGAACTTACACAGAGCCAAACACTGGCATCATTTTCTACACCAGCTATGAGGTCAATGGGACCGTCGAAGGAGATGGAGAGTTCTCATTGACCTCCTGGGGAGGCTTCACTTTTGGTATTGCTCTGCCAGAGAATGCCTTGACAGTAGACTCATTTGAATACATCGGATTGATTGTATGTTCCGATGAGAGAGCTGTCGAATTTGACGGAGCTGACCGATTAGATTGGATCTACACCTAATGGCACAGGGTGGTCTGGTATTGTCCAGGGAGACAATGTGGGTGCAGGTATGGAAAACCACCTAATGCTCTTAGCGTGGCCAACTGGCAATGGTGATGAAATCGCTACTTCCTTCCGATATACACCGTATGTATATTCTCTGAAGCAAGGAAATTGGATTTCTGACCAATAACGTAGTGGATATCTAGCCCCGGTTCCGTACGGGGGAACTGCCTCGGTTTACCCAATATATTCGAAAGTAAATGCCACCAATTGGACCCTGGTATACAAGTGTACAAATTGCTTGCTCTTCGATGATCCAACCCAAACCTCTTTCAATACCTCAACCTCGAAGGGAGGATTTGAACAAGGTTGGGCCCAATCCGACGCACCTCCCTTTGATAAAACAGATGCAAACTCCGGCTTTGACCAACACAATAATGGAATGGGAGAATTTTCAATCAAAGTTGCATCTGCTACACAGTCCGATTATTCCAAATGGGCAACCCTGACTGCTACAACTACATACACTTCAGCAACATCATCAGGAACTTCAACTCCAACTTCCATCTCGGCCAGTGCAGTTCCAACAGGTATCACATATGATTATGTTGTGATTGGTGGTGGAGCTGGCGGTATCCCAATTGCAGATAAGCTGTCTGAAGCTGGAAAGTCTGTTCTGCTCATTGAAAAAGGAGTAGCTTCCTCTGCGAGATGGGGCGGAAGTAAGCATCACTATAGTGTGTACGAGATGGAGCTGACATATCCTAGCACTTCGACCTGAGAGTGGATGGCTCGATGGACAGAACTTGACATGGTTCGATGTTCCAGGAGAATGCAACAGAATATGGAATGGTGGATCAGATGGTGTCGCTTGCACCGATACGGATCAAATGGCAGGCTGCATTTTGGGTGGAGGAACAGCAGTCAATGCCGGCTTATGGTGGAAGGTAAGAATTTCGCGTCGAGAAGCAAGACATGTACTGACTCCAGTAGCCCAACCCTGCGGATTGGGACGTCAACTTTCCAACCGGGTGGAAGTCTGCCGATATGTCAGCAGCTACCCAGCGAGTATTTTCACGACTTCCAGGCACCGATCATCCTTCTATGGACGGAAAACTCTATCTTCAATCCGGATTCAACACTATCCGAACAGGACTTGCCAATGCAAACTGGACTAGCGTGACAGCGAACGACGTCCCAAGCCAAAAGAATAGGACTTATGCTCATACCCCTTACATGTACATTCACGGCGAGCGAGGTGGCCCTATGGCTACCTATCTTGTAAGCGCGAGCAGCAGACAAAATTTCCACATGTGGTTGAACACCAGTGTTGAACGTGTCAACCGTGTAGGTGGGCATGCAACTAGCTTAGATCTTTTGGCAACAAACAATGGAGGATACACTGGTACTCTCAACTTGACCGCAGTCACCGGTCGTGTTATTCTTGCTGCTGGAGCTTTTGGAACCCCAAAGATTCTTTTCAGAAGTGGGATTGGACCTACCGACATGCTCCAAGTGGTTAACTCTAGCACTGATGCCTCAAAGATGATATCATCTAGCTCTTGGATTGATCTGCCTGTGGGATATAATCTTGACGACCACTTGAACACCGACTGTGTTATCTCGCATCCCAACGTCACTTATTACGATTGGCCTGCAGCTTGGGATACTCCAATTGCCGCCGATGCTACGAGTTATCTTCAAAGTCGCATCGGCCCTCTTGCTCAAGCAGCGCCAAATATCGGCCCAATGATGTGGGAAGAAATCACAGGTCCTGATGGCATTGTAAGACAGATGCAATGGACATCCAGAGTTGAGGGATCTGGTGGAGAGCCAGATGGCAATACTATGACTCTCAGTCTTTACCTCGGAAGAGGCCAGCTCTCTCGTGGTCGTACCACTATTGCGAAGGGTTTGAACATGGTGGTCTCTACGCTACCTTACGGAGACACCAATGATCTAGCATCTGTCGCTATAGCGATTGATCACATGAAGGCAGCACTGAGCACTATACCAAACATAACGCTACTGCTACCTCCTGCCAGCATGAGCGGCGCTGATTACCTCGCGAGCGTAAGTAGCTTCCTACATCTGAATTCACAACTAATACCTCCCAGCTCCCGCTCACCTACGCAAACATTGGAGCTCGCCGTGCCAACCACTGGCTCGGTACCACCAAAATGGGTACCGACAGCGGACTTACAGGCGGATCATCAGTCGTGGACTTAAACACCAAGGTTTACGGTACAGACAACATCTTCGTCGTAGACGCAAGTATTTTCCCTGGCATGCCAAGCACGAATCCCAGCGCCCTGATTGTGGTTGCAGCCGAGAAGGCGAGTGAAAAAATTCTAGCGCTCCGGCCGGGGTCTTGAAATCTCAAAGGACGCCCTGCCCTCATACATTTTGTATATACCTTCTCTTCGAACTTGTAAATACCTTTGATCTAGACACAGAAAAAATTGACTTTGCTTTGGCTCAAGAAATTCCATGTATCTTCAAGTTTACGTACCTGTGCGAACCCCGGACCCAAAGCATGCCTGTACCCAGGAATTGCATGCATTGACATCGGGGTACGCATATGCGTAATATATGTAGAAGAGAGCCACATGGCTCTGTACCCGCGGCTGAATACTGCCCTTCACGAATACCAACAAGGATCATTTAGCCACGAGCAGATATTAGACGAGGCTGGTTCTTTCCGTCCACACGAATAGGACTTCGGAATGTTCCCTCCGTACCTAGCTTACATGCAGGCTAGATGGCATTCAAAATTTGTGATAGCATTTGCGCATGTAACGATCAGGTCTCGATATCAGGCAAGCACCTAGCGCATTAATTCAACCGCTATCTCGTCTCGACTAATAGATTCTAGGACTCAGCCCCGTTTTTTTGTTCATTTCCTACGGTTGATCGGCCCTAGCATTATATTGTACTATACACGAGTTACCCTATTAGATTCTAAATTAAAGAATCCATAGTTTGACGTCGCACTTCTTCTGGTCGTCTATAGACCGGCGCCGATTGCTGTATGCCCGGAGCGGGGGTTTACACTGCGTTCCCCACAATACCAATCCTCACATCTTGTCTAGCCTGGCCCTCACTTGGCAGTGTACAGTACTCCTCCTACCTAGGTATTTTTCCAACGTTACATTCAGATTAGTCGCATTAAGAGAACGGTCACGAGTGGGCATGATCCGATTACTTTTGGTTTATTTTTGTTATATATAGGGCAGCAAGAATTATACTGGGATTTCGATGGCACATATGAGCTGTTTGAAAGCCAACGTAACGATGGAAGGGAGTAAGGCTATGAGGGGCTTGCCTGGTACGGGGCCGAGTAACAAGTTATATAGCTAGGGAGTGATTGGTATTGGGTGTTTGGTTGGAATATCTTTTGTTTGAAGTAATGAATCTGCTACTAAAATAATTGAAATAGCTCTAAATCTTCATCAAATGATCTAGAATGAACGGCAATGTACCCTGAAGTTGTCTGATCTCTTGCAACTGGCGTGAACTTGACATATAGCTGCGTCCAATTTCACGTTATGTGGTTTTCGGGTAGTCATCTAGGAGATGCAGCTTCGGGTTCCGAGCTAATCGTGGTTGCCAAACTTGAAATGGTTTGCCCAGCGGTTGAGCTTGAATTTGAAAGTGATGGATCACCTTCATCTGCTAGGCTTTCTGTACTTTGCAATAGTGTTGGCTGATTATGTGTCTCGACACATAGTGTAGGAGGTTTCGCTGGATTTGAAACTCGACGTCGTTTCAATGACCAGAATGATGTGGACAACTTGTTCTTGCATTCGATGAAGGTCGACGACGAATATTCGGTCCTTATGCCGGTGGTTGAAAAGAGACTTTTTGGCTCCAATTCACGATTGGGGCATGTAACACCCGGGCCATTGCCGAAAACAAAGCCGCCGTCTTCATAGCCTTGTAATAGGGCCAAGAAATCCTGCCCAAGTTGTGGCTTTTTGCATTTATATAATGCTTGGGTATGAGTTCCAGAAAAGGAAGAGCCATGTAAGTGGCTATCAATGATCTGTTGTCGAGGTCGCCATTCTATTTGATCGGCTAATCTTGAACCATTCGATCCCATGTTATGCTGATGAAGGAGATTGCTCACCGACTTGCCAGTTGCAGCAAGATAGTTTTTCCCTGAGGGTACGACTTTCCATGGCTCGCATAGGCAATCCGATGAAATGGGATCGATGCATTGGGGGAGTCCTCGAATGAAAAGAACAATGGGCTGGCACTTAGAGAGATAGGTCCAAGGTTGTTGGACTGGCGCTTCTTTGATCTCCATTATAGTTTCGGTACGAATTGTGTCCTGGAGTTCAACTCCACGAAGGAATTTAGGGCATGATTTTCCAGCCAGCTCTGCTTGGGCATTTGCCTGGTATAGCCTTGTACGAATCATGTCGAGGGTGTTCCATATTCTCAACCAGAACTCGTCCATTGGCCCACCTAGGGATTTGGGACCGCCCAAAGAGTTCCCCTTACAAACCCGGAGGGGAAGGCTCTCCACTATGGCATTCAATGTGGCCTCCGGGCTGCTTGTGTCTCCCGAGGGATATTTGATATCCGATTCCACATCATCCCTGAACAGCTTGCAACGAAGTTCAGCAATGGTACAACGAGCCATGAAGAAGACAACGCAGATTTCTGGTAACAGCCATCCAATTTTTTCCTCGGGGTCGTACAATAAGATATTGCGTCGCAACGCTGTTTCGAGAACATCGTATATAACCTTCGATTGAGGGAGCATCAGCATAGATGGAATGGAAACAGGTAACCAGCCGATTGACCCTGTTGCACCAAAGTATCCGAGACCATCGCTTCCAATAGTCAATTGGTAAGACTTGACATAACCCGACCCTTTAGAAGCAGGTGCTCCTGAGGTATAGATGGTGCTTGGAAAGCTTGGAGTTGTTATGGCCATGTGTACCTTTGGCACCCATCCAAGAAACGCTCGTCTATTCACCAGACGCTTTAGATCCAATGAACGAAACCACTTTTGAGATGTCTCTAGCTTCTGTAGAAATCCAGATGGGGCCTCTGAGGTCCAGGCACCATAAGTAGCTTCCCTCTCAACGTGCCACTGAAACGCATCGTCTTTATCTAGCTCTTCGACTGGGTAGAGTAAAGTTTGAGTGCCTCTTACTACGAGGCCTCCGTCAATATCCAGGACCCCCATAGATCGCGCCATTAACGCCATGTCTGCAAAGGCAATCTCCAGACCCTTGCCTTGTATTCGTTTGGGGTGAGCAAATTGCTGTGCGATTACTGACCGAGGGAACAAAGAATGCCAACATGGTGCATCTCCAGGGACTTCTTCTATATCAGATAGAGAGATCTCGATAATCCTCTCTGTCCTCGGAAAGTCATAAACTATTAATTGTATACGACAGGTCGACATAGCTACAGTAGCAAGCGGCGAGAAGCGTATCGCGGCGCAAAGCCATGATATGCAAGAGACGACTTGTACTTTGATCTCTTGACTTGCTCTCATGAGTAGTCGCGCGGTTGACTTGCAAGAATTGTCGAACTCGGGTCCGTGTCCACTATCAAGTACAAGAGTCATCTCAGGGATAGATTTCTCGGTAACTAATCGCAGTATCAATATCATTGCATCAATATCAGTGAAGAATATCCTACCTTCTACTGGTGTTTTAAGAATAAACTGTTGAATCAAATCCAAAATGACCGGACCAGCTTCTTTCCAATTAGCTTCAACATAGTCCTGGCATCGCATGGCAATGGCATCTTGTGTGTTGCCAGTTATTGTCATGATATCCCCTAACCTTTGGCCCGGGGAGCAATACTTTCTCAAATACTCTGGCACCTCCCAAATAATTTCATAATCGCTCCATAGGTGTGTCGTCGAGGAGGCTGCTCTAATTGCATGCTTTATGTACGCCACATGACCTCGTCGAGTTTTCTTATAGTCCTCTGAAGGGTACAGGAATGTTCTGAGTTTGGTTCGGAGAGATTGCAGTGCCACTGAAGTATCAAGGAACATTTTCATATCTGGCAACATAAGTGCAGCTTTCTTATACGACATATAGTCATCGACGTCAACGGCTTTTTCTGCACTGTCATCTGAGCTGTCCAAGTTCAAGTCCAATTCAGATAACTCGGGTTTGAGTGTGGCACAGCCTTCATCTTGTTCAACAAACTCATTTTCGTATATCCTAGATTCCAAGACTTGGCATACTCTCCGTGCGGCATCTTTTGCCTTCGCGTACACAAATCTGGCCGCAAAATTCTCTTGCTGATTGTGAGCATCGCCTTCAAGATTTGTACCGAAGTTCTGGAAGAGACGCCCGAGAGTCCGTTCGAACCTTTCGGCGCTGACTCGAAAGAGAGCTACATCATATAATATGGCAAGCTCGAAGTCATCTCTTAGCACATCTAGAAGGAGCTCTAGAGCATCTGACTCGTTTTGCAAAGATGTCACACTCGATGTCTTGCTAATTGTTGAAATAAGCTGCCGGTGATGGAGTCAGGGGCAGAGGGGACAAACTTTATTCTGGATAGACTTTGGGTTTCACTACTATCACATCAGCAATTTGTACCAAAATCTATTTTCTGCCACGCACTGTTCATCCATATGCCAAACCAAAATGGAAACTCGGGAAAACTCTCGCTTGCAGTCCTCGAATGTACACGGGTAGGGTAGCTTCCGATGAATCAATTGGTGGCGCCTGCAACTTGTGTCAAGATGTGCCGAAAATCAAATAATACATGTGACAAACAGAAATTCCTCTTTTCTCGAATAGCTCTGATAAGAGGTTAGTTATATGTGCCCATGAATCTGGTGGGTAAGAGACTTTACCTTCTGACATAATTCGCACGTGTGTAGAACGCTTTGCTTGGCCCTTGATGTTCTCCCAGAGACAGGTATTTCACTACCAGAATCAACCGATCGTGAACCATGATTTGGTAAAGTAGTGTCGCTTGGAACATCCATCGTGATATTAACTCTTTTGAGAATTCTGAATGTCGCAAGGCTGGGACTAAAGTGACATAAAAATACTCCTACTTCAAGAACAATTAGCACAGAACACAGCTATAGGAGCTCCCTAGCTAGACAGGTCTATAGCTGGGACAAGGTAGAATATCCTTCGATACTATAATATAGCTGCAATAAAGTAGCTGGTTGTAAGAAGGATGAAGTATTTTGGAATGAAAAGGTCATGAGGACTTGAGGTTCAAAATCGCCATGCGCCACTTTGCAGCGTCAAGCGCCTATGAGAGAGTTCATACTCGGTGAGCCGGATAAATAGGGATCCTGGTGCTATTGTATATAAATAGAATCTTCACCACATCTACTGTGTCCTAAATAGATATAGCGTAGCCTTACCCCGTAAGCTCTTACCATTAAAGTATTACCCATTCCTAGCCTTCCGTACTAATAATTGCTCCTCATTCAAGGTCAATTGCTTTGTTTTCACGCATAGAGCGATCAGCCGCAATTACAATACTAAGTGATCGAATAGCATCATCCATTTGCTGTGAGAGGTCTCGATCCTCGCGAATAGCATCCAGCAGAAATTGCTGCTCCCGTGCACAAAGCTCATAATGGTTCGGCTCATCCTCCATGGAGAGTACCTTATCGTGAGGACGCCCATCAATTATGGTATTCACGCGTAAGTTTGATGTCTTTGTGTGGCTGTTGATATCGGCTGAGCTATTATTTGCAGAGTTATGCTCTTCGGCACTAATCACAATCGATACTGAGCCACGAGGGCCCATCACGTCTTTGATAAAATATGCTGTCGCTGATATCACTAGAAAAATGGGAAGTCAGTTATTTCCTATTCAAGACGGTTTCGATGGCAGAGGGAGCTTATATTTCCACTTTAGGAAAGTTATAGGGGTTAGAGCACACGAGATGAAACATAACAGAAGGTGGCAGAGCAGAATCAAAGAGCCAGTCATCCTTACTAGGACCCCATCCAGATTCGTACCAGCCGACTGACCCATCAGCAAAAAGAACCTGAAGATGGCCATAATTGACCTGCCCATCGGACGGAATCTCATCCGTGAGACGGAGGCCCATGCCACGCACTTGGACAGGTTTGCTGTCGGTGATTTGCAACATGATATCGACATAGTGCACGCCACAGTCAACAACAGGATTCTTGACATCCTGAAGTAGGCGCTTGTGAATAGCCCAAGCCTTTCCACTAGATCGCTGGTTTAGGTCCTTGAGACTCTCTATGAGTCTAGTGCGACATAGAGATTGATTATGTAACACCTTTTATTCTCCAAGTACCAATTTTGAGCTGCTTCTCTCAGCGCTCTAAACTCCTCTGTGCTACTCTTTGCTAGTAAGTTCAATTAAAGTATCCCTACGGTGAACTGTATATACTGCTTAAATGGAACTTAACGAGCAGTATACCCGCCATCAACAGGCAAATTGACACCCGTCACCCAACTCGCATCATCACTCGCAAGCACAACCGCCATCTTCGCAATATCATTCGGTACACCCGGTCCCCCGAACGGATGCCGTTCCTCCAGCACCTCAAGCGGAGTCATATGCGTAGTGGTCTCCTCGAAAATCGCCGTCCTGGTATCTATCCACACACCGAAATCAGTTTGCTGCTCTTGATGGTACAGAAAAAGAACAAGGGGAATATACAGCCGGGACATATTGCGTTCACGTGAATTCGATGTTTAGCGTAATCCCAAGCAACCTGTCTCGTCAGACTAGTCACGGCTCCTTTTGAAGCACAGTAGCTCGCTTTGATCATCAGCTTTCTCTCTCTTCCTAAGCTAAAGCCCAAGTCCTCGGAATCAGACTTACAGTTCTCCGGCCCACCTACAAGTCCCTTTATAGAAGACATATTCACAATCCAACCCCTATCACCCGACTCATGAGGAGGCTGTTTCAGCATCTGAGCCGTAGCGTATTTACAACCTAGGAATACAGATTTCGCGTTCACGGCGAGCGTGATATCCCACGTTGATTCGGACGTCAGGTGTATAGGTTGCGGGTCCTTGGCCTCGAGCGATACACCTGCATTATTCACCATTCTTCCCACATCAGCATTCGCTCACAGCCTCCCCATTCTCCCAAACGAAACATAAACACCGCTGCCAGAAATAGAAAGATCTCACATATCCAATCTCCCAAACGCCTCCACCGCATTAGCGATAAGCCCAGACACGTCCGCTGCTTTCGACACATCTGCTCTGACGAAGATGGATTTCCCACCCGTCTTTTGGATTAGTTCGTGGGTGGAGAAATCTGATTCGCTGGGAACGAGGGAGTTTGCGGATGGCTTTAGGTCAGAGCAGATGACTGAGGCGCCTTCTTTGGCGTACAGGAGGGATATGGCGCGGCCCAGGCCGGAGGAGGAGCCTGTTACTACTGCGACTTTGTTGAGGAGTCTTCCTGCCATGGTTGATGGGAATTTTGGAGGAGTGAAGCAATAGATTGGAAATGAAGCTGTGCTCTTTTCGGGTGAGTTTGAAAGAGCTGTTTTGAGGAATATGGGTAGAGGGAGAGGGGGTTGTGGAACTGTGCTAGCAAAGAAGGTCTAAGTGCGTTGTCATAGCAAGTGTGCCGAGACCCGCAGGACTTTTGTATACGTAGCAAGGAGAATTTAGATATGCAAATGAAGTAGAAGATAATATAGAAAAACCCTGTAAAACTCTAGGTCTATTGGTCTACCATTCTTTACCTCTATTCCATCGGTTCTAAGCCAGCGCCTTGCAATTTGTGCCCATAGGTCTAATTTGGGAACTGCTCTGTACCAGAAATATCATGTGAATGAGCACCATCTGGCCTCATCCCTTTATCTCTTCCCTCCTTCCCAACTTCCGTCATATGAGCCGCATCCTCATTCGATCCCTCATCAAAAGTGAATCTCCGAAACTCACATGTGTGCCACGCCGTACCTAATTTTGATCAGCCGACCTCTCATCAAAAGATTGATCTCGTTTGTACACACCTCTAGGAAGAACCAAGCCCTTCCAATCTTCTGTCAAGTAATGCAAGAAAGCTCCATGCGTGACAAGAGCAATGTGCTCTTCCGGACGCTTCCACAGCCAACATCTCAGCGCCGCTGCACGCTTCTGCACTGCTTCAAGACTGGCTTCATACTCCCCTTTCTACATAACATATACATACATTAGCAAATATTCGGAAGGACGTCAATTTCTCAAACGGATTGGGATATTCTATACCTTGGAATTCCACCCCTCTTCCACAAGCGAAAAGTCAATCCTCCCCGCATCAAACCCATACTCTTCTTCCTCGAAGATCTCAGTCAGAGCAAGCTTGAGACCTGCAGGGTCGGTACCGGTATCGCACGGTTTGTCGCTGATCTCCTGAGCTTTGGGGACTAGCAAGAAGGGAACATCTTTTCTTTGCAGGACACCTCTGAGGCCGAAAACGGCGGTCTGCACAAATGATGTTAGTATGTATGGTTGAAGTAGTTAGTTTTGAGGAGTGACGGACCTGCACGGTGCGGAAAAGCGGAGACGCCATGACAATGTCGACATCTTTGTGGAAAGAGAAGCTTTGTCGTAGGTCTAGACATTGGACTTTGCCCGTCGGCGTTAGGTGGGGGTCTTTGACGAATGAGTTGCCCTGTTGTTGCTGTTAGTTTTGCCCTCGTGTGAACATAGAAGAACACCAGGCCATTCTGGCATGAAGTACGCCTACTAGGGCTTGTGATTTGCGGGGTGGCGGGGTATTATAGTGTCGTGTCATACCTGGGGTTGTGTCTCGGAGATGTTGTGGTATCCTTGCCCATGGCGGATAAGGTACAGAGTTTTCACCATCACGAAAACGTGTCAAGATCGCCTAGGAGAGTTGAGAGGTTCTAGTCGAGGTTGTTGGAAGTAATGCTCCTTTTATTTGCTGCAAGTATGTTTTTTGTGAAAAAAAGGTATTGAATACTCGGGAGACCTGCAGGACTGACGAGAAAACTAGCGCAGTTTCCCGGCAAAGTTTCCTTGGTATTGCTCCGTTACCAGCAGTGGCTACTTGACTAACTGACATTCATTGTTTGGATTAACAGGTGTTGGAATTGGGATACAATAATAATTGTTTCCGAATCATACCAAGTGAATAAGCCAGTCAAATATCTTTGCGTAAAAGCACCTATTGTCCACAACCACATGACGGATTGGGAAAACAACTATTCAATAATGCTTTTGCTCTCGAAGAGGTGTTGGTCTATGAATGCACAGAGGCACAAGTATCTACCTAACAGATGGACATCCATCCCTTGATGCCAACTATCAAAAGTCCTACTAACTCCGCAACTCCATGTCGAAAACATTACAGAAGCCAAACCGCGCCTATGGCTCCTGATCGGGGTATCATTGAAATCAAATCACTGCTACATGCTATCAGCCATAGCCTTAATAACAGCCTTCTTCTTCTCCAGCTCCGCTTCCAGACTCGCAACTCTCGTCCTCAACTCCTCAATCTTCTCATCCTTTGACTTCAACGCCACCCTTGAGATATCCCTCCCCTTCTCAATACCCGACAACTTCGCACCAAACTTATCACAGATGACCTGCACCTGGGAGCATATCTGCGCATCCACTTTCCCCTTCAACACCTCCATCACATCATCCGTAATCACATACCCCGTCTTCCCCATCTCCGCGCGCCTCTCGACTGATTCGTTGGGCGACGCAGAAGGCGTTTGTATATCTCTACTCTCCCTGTCTGTGAAACCTCCCGTGACAGGCGTCGGCAGCCCCGCTCTTATGCCAGCCCCCGGCGTCGCAAAATCCCCGCTCTTGACAGCCTTTCGCGGAGTCTGCGGCGTAGGCATAGGCGTTGACGAAGTTTGCGAAGCACGGGTTAAAATTTCAGCCATCTCAGGCGAGAGCTCAAAGCCGCCAAAGTCGCTATCAGATCCCTCGTCCAGCTCATCATATTTCCGCTTGTTCTTGTTGTAGCTAGCTATAGAAGGCGTGGTGGGAGGTGTTGGGGAGGGTTCGTTGTATTGATGGTCTGGGGTAGAGGGACGGGCGCCTTCTCCTTCTTGTTGCCTAGCTTGGTCTTCCCAGAGGAAGAACTTGCAGTTGTCGCTGCGCTTGCTGTGTTTCTTGCAGTTGTAGAACCAGCGGCCTTTATTGCTAGTGTCTTGCTTCACCTGGAAACGGGCGGCGGGTTGACGGGGATCGCAGTTGCCTGTGGGTTGTTAGAACTGATATCTGAGGTGGTATTTGAGGGGCCTACTCACAGAACCATGTGCCGTCTTTGAATAGGCCTTTGGTGGACCTGGTTGCTGTTGGCCTGCCGGTCTTGCTCGGAGTATGAAACATTGTAAGCGTTGATAAGGTGTAGCAAAGAGCGGAGAGTGGTGTGATGCCAGTCAAATATGACCGCGCGCAGGAAGGTATTCGGCGATTGGCAAGAGGGGTTGTTGGGTGAATATGCCGAATGGAGCTCCTTTGTTTAGCCGCTACACGTTGCAGAAAGAAGCTTCTGGTATATCGTCAAGCTATTGTATTGCGAATAATGGGCTTTTTAAAATGTCGCACGTTGGATATAATCTTCATTATTGATCTCGCTGTGTTGTTATAGACGTCAGCCTTGATGTTTCCCAACCCCCTCACAGAAGGCTTATCGCAATCGGTTGCCAGCCACCGCAATACGGGAAGTGGACGGGCGTCCACCCTCTCGCTTAGCCCATCTCCCCCCTATTTACAAAAGAGTTAATAGGGGTTCCTGTACCGAGGTCCTTGCTGACACAAAATCCATCTATTTTAGCTTTCCTTTTGGATTTGGAAGCATGGGTCCGGGTTTGGGATGGGTGGTTCTGAAGTTGGGTGGTTCTGAGGTTGGGTGGTTCTGAGATTGGGTGGTGGAGAGAAAGGGGATGGATGAAAGATGGGATAAGAAGATTACGAGTATATACTCCGTAGAATGCAAACAAGCATCCTTTCTACTCGCTCATATGCCATGGCTACTCCCAAACTGCAATACCGTGCATAAGCTCGACGTAATATATGAATTGATTCGCGGCTCAGGGAACTAACCCAGCAGCCTCGGACACCGGATAGTAACAGGCGACCGTCTCTCCTGGTGCGCTACTCAAGGGGGCTCTTCCTCGCGTAAGAGGTGAGAAGATGACGGAGGAGCGAGGAGCTGTCTGCGATGCTATAAGCGAGGGAGTAAGATGCATAATACGCCCACTAGAAATAGAGAGCTAGGTTCATTTTTGAAGGAACTTGAATGTTCCCAAGCCGCATTTGGGAATTCTATATACTTTTTAGAGTTGAGAGAGTCGAGTAACATATGTCCAGTTATATATATTAAGTTGTGTGTATACACTCCATAACGTGGGAGCATCTTACCGAATCCTAACAGGTGGACAATTAGTAGAGTGTATTTCTCCTTATAAAAGTATTATCTCATCTTACAACTTTATTATAAGCGTTTACTCGCAAATGATGACTTCTCTAGGTAGACAATTGAGTAATAAGCGATATAATTTACTTCTCTTATTTTACGTGTTCTATCACCCGTCTACTAGAGTTTACAATTAAGCTAGCTTAACCGGCACCCCACCTAAGGTACAGTAACCCCCATTCTCAGCCTCTTCTCTTCTCCTCATCACGTTTACATGTCTACACCCTCTAGTGTTAGCATTTGATACACTAGTTTGACAGAAGATGTGTTCCTCAACAAAACCCTTACGAGTCGCCATTCTCATCAACACCGCCTCGAAACACGCACCAGAGGTAGTAAACTCGTTCACATCAATACTAGCCAGAACATCACCACAAGCTGAAGTGGCCTTCTACGATCCAATCGCGAAGCAGGAGTACCCAGATGTGTCTAAATGTGACCTCGTGATATTGAGCGGTGGAACTACAGACCCCATGTCCACCGAGCCATGGGTGCTTAAGATGCTGGCGTTTATTAGGGAAACCGAAAGGGCACAAAGAGACAGTAAAACTACTACGGCAAAGCTGCTGGGGATTTGTTGGGGTCATCAGGCGATATGTATTGCACTTGGCGGAGTGGTTGAGACGATGGAGCAAAAACCCGATGTGAGGGTGAAACATTCTGTTGTTCGGACGAGGCTGATGTGGGGTATATAAAGATAGGGCCGAAACGCATCATTTTAACGGGAGAGGGCAAGAAAGTATTTGGGTTTGCTGCCATCGAGGGATATTATGTGAGTGCCGGATGCTGCTGGTGAAATAGCACTTGACGGTTGCTAATTACCTAGACTGCAATGGAGTTTCATCGAAGAGCCGTCACGAAGCCTGCGGAAGGGTTTGTGCGACTTGCGGAAGATAATGAGTTGCTCCGAAGTAGCTCGAATATGATTCTGTCAACGCAATCACATCCTGAGATGAAGGGCCCCTTGGCTATGAGTATGCTGCGGGCAGCTACACCAGAATATAATAAAGACTTGGACCTGGAGAGTATCGAGAATAATATGATGGGGCCTGAGGATGGCGATGCGGTGTTTGGGTGTATCGTTGAATGGGTTGCCGAGAGATGATAATAAGTCCTCATCAAGACAGTTTGCTAGTTGGTCTCGGTCAGTGTACCCCAGAACTATCAATATTCATATAAGCTACATTTAAGCAGTCAAAAGAATGTACTGCGATGGACGGATTTTAACATTACATCTACCTTATGTTTGAATTGTTCCTTGGGAACTCAATTGTTTCGTACTACGAGTCGGAGATCAAACCCGCCGGAACTACTATTAGCTCGACACCAAGGGAATAAGTATACGATGACGTCAACGTCTCTCCTAGGAATTACTTTACCACGTTCCTAAACCCAACTGCCCTTACTCGATCTTACAGAGAAACGATTCGAATTGCAACCTACCTATCAGAATCCCAACTTCAACTTCACCTCAAGATGTAAGCGATTCTCTTGATCTTTCCCAAGTCCATACATATTCGAAAACTAAATCAAAGCCCAGGTCTCCCCTCGCAACACTTATTGGCCTGCGCGCAACCACCGCCCCAGTCCCCTCCCTCGCCTCCACGTTCCTGATCAGCAACTTCATCTACGCGTACGCGATCCTGTCAACGCGGTTCATCAAACGACGGTATAAGCTCGATCATAACAGCAGTCCTAGGGAAGACGTTGTAAAGTACGGAGAGGTGAGTAAGGTAGATGGGTATTCTGGACAATGAATAGCAACAGCACTGAATGGATTTGAGCAAGTTAGGGCTGACGCGACATGGCGTAGGCAATGGTTAGAGAGGGGAAGTTGAGCGCGGAGCAGTTGGCGATGGTGAAGAGGTGGGAGGGCGCGCACGCTAATGCCGTGGAGGGGTATACGTTTTTTGCGCTGGGGTGGTGAGTTTCTGCTTTCTTTGAGTACGTGGGAGGGAGATAGGTGATGTGGAAGAATAAGGTGACCTATATATATATA